TAGTGATAATCTACTTAAAAATTTCCTTCAAAATCTGTTTTAGTGTTATTTGTATTATAAGCCAATTAAAATATGCACTGGTGCCCCCACGTTGCTAAAAATTGTTATTTTTAAGCTCACAGGACAGCATATTAAATGCCACTAACTGCTCCAAAGCAAGGTCCTGTTCCAAAAATGCAATTTCGCTGCTCCAAAAACTTCACCCGTTTTAGTTTCAGCCGTGTCACCCCTGTTTAGGTAAAACCTTAGCCTTAGGTCTAAAAACTGAAGGTTTAATTCCTGCAGCAGTTCTGTCGTAAAGACAAGTACGCTTCCATTCTTTTTAAAGGGACACTAAAGAGCAAAACGATTTTACGCATATTAGTAACTGTAATTTCACAATCCCAAAAACACTTCTTACCCCGATGAATGCGATGGCAACAACTTGGAATGCATCGCTAAGAACGGCATGCAGATCGAAACGTGTAGTGCGCGGCTCATGCACGAATGACGCACGAAAACGGCATACACAGGACGAGAACGAACCAACAATGTTTATCGCTCGATACTTAACACGCTGTTTAAACAAAAACGAGGCATGAAACGTAATCACAGGTGCAGATAAGAGTGCAAACTAACAAGTGCCCCCAGTTAATTTTGTTACTGCGCCGTGTTGAAAAGCGCACTCTTTTCGCAAACGGCGCCTGCCCAGCAAGCGAAGAGATCTTTGTGCGCCCAGCAACTAAACGTAATCATTCCGGTCAAAGTCAATGGCGTGTGACTTTCCCCACCGAAGGATAAGCGCGCTCGCGCACAAGCATCTAACCCCCCTTAACCAAACCTCAACTCGCTGGGCAAAGTACGCGTTGTTAACGAGCTGCAGGGCGCCGAGTGCGGGCGGCTTTTTTTTTTCTTTCTTAAGGGGGGACGTGGCAAGTAAAACTAATTTTTTTATTAATGTACTGTTTGTGATGAAATTTGGTGTGTGTATGTGGATGATTGTGAGGATTCCAAATATGAAAACCGTTTTCAAATACCTCTTGTACTTTTTGAGTTACAAGCATAATTATACTAATTAATGCTCTTCACACTTAAAGAGATAATTATTGCTAAATGAAATTATTTTTTCATATTATTATGTTCCCAAAGCATCAACTTGTGCAAAGAAGCTATTAGTTGATTTTTCTAGTTCTTGTAACCATAAATAAAATTTCCAAAACATGGATGTTGTTTTGCGCACACATCGCAGTAATTATAAAATGTGTTCTAAAAATTTTAAATGATGAGTAAGAAGAGAGATAAAGCTTTATTGCACTGCTAAAGGCCTCCTGAGCCTAGTGCAAAAAACGGAACGACTCTATCAGTCTTTGTTAGAAAATGACAGATGTTCTAGCGAAGGCACATAGGCGAAAATCAAGAGTTGAGAAAACTGACTTTGAAAGTTCACTCTTGTTTGGAAGTTCACAACATGGCTAAAACACTCAGAATCCTCCTGGGCAGTAATCCTGAGATGCTGTGGCCTTGGCCTCTGTAGAGCGCAACCCAGTTTTGCGCTTCTTTGTCGTGGAACAATGCGCTTTTTGAGCCCTCTTTACCCTTTTGGCATCCTTTTCGGCTGCTCGCCGCAAAGAGCAGTCTCCTGGATTGAAGCCCAGTTGAGCAGTGATCTCTTGCAGCGCACTCTTGCAGCCACCATTGAAACGGCAGACTGCATCTGCAACTGCACTTTCCACACTTCGAAGGGAGGCGAACTGGCTCTTGGACTGGAGTGACCAAATGAGGCTGTTCATACTCTCCACAGCGTTCTGGGTTTTTCCCTGCGCACACCTTTCAAGGAGCTCTTTGTTCGAGAGGCGCTTGTAGATTGGCAGCACTGCCACTCGCACGTGAGGGGGCAGTTTATGTTTGTGAGGCGGCAGCGGCTCTCCCTTGGCCAATGCCTGATTGTGCGGGCACCAGGAGTCAGTCCCACTTGGGCACAGGTTGTGGTGTGGATCCTGGTCTGTGGATGTTACATGGTAATAAGTGGCCATGATGGCCCTCTCCATGCCAGGAACATCGTTGGGGTGGCTCTTAATGGCCCAGCCATAATAATTCGTCAACTTCTTTATCAGGCCCTGCGTCAGCCGGCCTTTGCCACCCATGCTCAGTCCTCGGCCTTTGGATTTGTGCTCATCAAGAAGGTTGCGCAAGGAAGTGCCCATTCTTTTTTTCACATGGTTCACACACTCCTGTTTCTTAATCACCATGTAGCCATACACCTTGTCTTGCGTGAGGGCAAGGTACGTACGGCTGTCACCGTCGCAGAGCACATTGATGTATCGAAGCTTGTACTTGGTAAACGATCTTTCAAACATGATCCTAGCTGCTTCTACTTCCATTTGGCCTGCATTAGCATCGGTGTTCTTTTGGCACTGTGGCTTGTGTTTCTCAAGCCACTCCTCATAGTTGTCGTCACCAGGCTTGGGGCCAACAGCACAGCCTTGGCAGTAGTTGGACAGGACACAGTGGTCCAAGACCAAGCCTGTGTACAGCTCGATTACACAGCCCACGCCAATATGACTTCTGTGCCCCCTCGTCATCCACGTGCCGTCGTAAATGACGTCAATGTTGCCTGGCACTCCTCCTAGGTCCTTGTAAATGTCATGCACCTTCTGTGCACTTTCTGCTTCAATGCGGGTGGCAGCTGATGTGGTGGCAGGGTGGCTGTACTTCCTTTGCAGTCTCTGGTAGGACTTGTGGTGCAGTGCTCGATGCGAAATGTCCATCGCAGGAAAAATGTCATTTATGGCAGATTGTTTCCTGCCAACTGACTGCACAGCCCTCAAAGCACGCACGTTTACCTCAAAGGGGTTCGTTTTTTTGTTGCCCGGAGCACCTCGGGGACGACCACGCACTGTTCACTCTGCCACAATTGTCACAAAAAAGTTCCATCCTCGCCGCGAGTCCAAGGCAGTGCGTAGTCTCGAGGCGTATCGACCCTTCGTCGCACTTGTTGCACTTTACTGACGAAAGCAGACCGTTCAGCATCTTCTTATTTACAATGAAGAATGTGGAGTCCTTACCGCCGTCATTTTCGTCGCAGCCTTCGTTCAGAAGCTCGAGCTTCCGCTTTGAAGCGGACTTCGATGCTACGGCATCCAAAACATCCCGCCTTGTCTGCGCCCGCTGCGCGATTTCTTCACTGCTCGGAATCTGGGCCGAAACTCGCGATAGAATGTTCGACGCGCGCACGCCCGGAGTTGCAACGGCTGCCGACGCGGTGCCACCGCAATCGGGTTCGCGAGAGCGTCCATCACGGTCGACGGCATCCGGCGGTCTGACATACGACGATGTGGCACCTTCCACACTCTCGGCCTCACAACAATCAGCGAAGGGTCTGAGTAGAGGCTCCGTGACGCTCGAAGAGCATGCTCCGTCCGGAACTGCGACTGGGACGGCAGCCGCAGTCGTCTGCCCTTTGTTCCAAGCTTTCCGACGCTTGCCGTACTTGTGGACGCTCCGGAACTTTTTTTGCGGCAACATAGCACCGCAGTATGAGCAAGCACTCAGAAGAGACCACCGATGTAACAAAGCTTGGTAAAAAAAGCACGCGAACTATCACAAAAACAGCAAACTGGCAAAAAACGAAGCGCACGCCGGATGATTCTCGACACGGCGGCCGCAGATGCGCTCGCGCTTCCAAGGTTGCCAAGGTGCGCGGCGCAGCTTTGACCAGTAAGAGGTCGCGCCTGCTACCACGTGACCCGCGCAGCCAATTGCCGTTCTTCGTTTTCGTTTTTTTACTTGCTCCTCGCGCTTTTATTTTCACTCGGCGAAATACGAGACTGCGACCATCGGGAAGCCGGCTTTCTCCTCTTTCCAAAGCTACCAAAATGGCGGCCCACGGTCAACAACTTGGCGCGTTTGTGCGGCGTGAACAACACCGTTTCAGGGGCTTTTTTTTCGCACTTTTTGGCGACTAGCCTCGGCAAAAACACTATTTGCGGGATTTGTAGCGCACGTTTCGCTGTAATATTTTAGAACAAAGAAGTTGAAGGTCTGAAGATTACGAAAAAAAATAAATCAGAAAATCGCATATTTTGACCAAAATCGGCACTTTACTTGCCGCGCCCCCCCTTAAGTATATATATATATATATATATATTCACATACTCACACACACATACACATACAGTGAATGGCGGCGGCGGCAAAAAAACAAAAACAAAATTCAGCCGAGACTCTATATAGTTGCTATCGCAATAAGAAAAAAAAAGCTGAACATCGTTGGGGCCACACCATGAGCGCGCGTCGTCGAAAACGGAAGAGTGAACGACACTAACACAAACACGGATACCGGGAAAAACTATTCAGTAAAGCGCCCTCCATAGGCAACGCGGCCCCACATATGTGACGGTAACTAAAAGCGTGGCACTGCCAACTCGCAAAAGTAGTTTTCTTTTTTTGCTTTGATTTTGATTAACAGTGTTGGGGGGGCACAACCGCGCATGCGCCCACAGCGGCGAGAACGGCGGCCACGCCGGTTCTTGGGGTGCAGGCCCGCCTGCCCGCCTGGCGCACACCCGCGCAATAACGAGCGCTGGCTCTCATCTGTTGCGCTGTGCGTGCCACTGCCGCTTTGTCGATGGTGGGGCAGCCACAGAAGATGCATGCTCGTACCAATATGCGAAAATGCAAAGCGAAATTGTTAGATTGTACGTGGGGAAAATTCGTTATATTAAGGTTGTCTCCCTGTGTTAGTTACATAGAGGTTACAAATACATGTGCTTCTATGGAGCGACGACGGAAAATTGAAAAACTTTGTTATATCGAGGAATTTGTTATATGGAGGTTCGTTATAAGCAGGTTTAATTGTATCTGGTTGCTTTCATTTCGATCACTCGTGGAAACTGCAAGTTATGTGAAACACAGTTTGAGAATTGCTGGTGCACCAGCTGAATTTTGTCCCTGTGTGCAAAAGTCAGTGCCCCAAAGTATCAACCGAACACCTGCTGGTGTCGGTGTATCCTCTGTTGCAGGATCAACGGAACACCCGTGACGTTAGAAGGCACAGAGCGATCGTCATCTTCGCAGTGGTCGCTCAACTTCCAGCTCTCTGTGGTGGAGATGGAAGTTGCCGAGTGCCTTTTCAACCGTCGATCGAACGTGGAAGGGGAGAGCCTATCGCTACAAGATGCCGACATCACCGACGTAAGTAATGACACTTAACCAAGACAGTGGAATCTCGGTGATGCACTTCTGCAAACAAGTATTTTGCGGAAGTAGCTGAGAAGTGCAATCGCACTTTCATCTGATACAACTGCAGAAGTGTGCTTTTACTGGTGCAGTAAAAACTCTTTAATTGAAATCTCGATGATTTCTGGTTTAGAAAAAATTTAAAATGGAAAAAAAAAACTATGTGATACTAAGGGGTGTAACTGTCGCTAAAACCATCACCATTCATTTAAAAAATCGCAATAGGTTCATTTTGCTGCTTCTCAACAAGCAATTTCGGTATCTGTACAAGCTGTTGCTTCTATGGAGCAACGGCGGGGAATAGAAAAACTTCGTGAAATCGAGGAATTCATTCTATAGAGGTTTGTTATAAGCAAGTTCAACTGTAGTACCATGATCTTTCCATATGAGAAATGATTTATTTTCCTCTTTGGGCTTAGTAGTAAATGAAGATGCTTCGTGCGTCAGGGATAGACATCACCCATTTTACGGCTGTCTATTAGTTGTTCTTGATCACTTAGCGTCTCTTTGTTCACATTTATTGATGTTTTATTTGTAGCCTTTCATGGCGCTGGGCATGTACGTTTGTGCTCATCTTGCATGAGCATTTATAACGATAAAAGCTAAGCCCGAGACTCGTGTAGTCTCGCATATTGCTGACCGAACTTCTTGCATAGCTTCCACAGCGTTGCATCCGATGTGTGAAACGAAGTATAGTAGTAATGTATGTACACTTTTCTGCGTGACACCGCAGTACTGTAGTGAAAATGACTTGAGTAACTTGGGCACAACTTGGGTGGAGCCTAACCATTTATATACACCCACTGCATGTCTTTATTTCAGATCCTTGCCTTCTTCGAAAGTGATGACAAAAAAAAGAAGCCATCGGAGGCAGAGCCCTTTCTGAGGCTAAAGTACGAGTACCCAAAGAAATCTGCACAGGTATTGCTGTTCAAAAATCTTGCTTTTTTTTGCCTCTTGTTCTTTCTTTTAAAATTTTTCCTAGGTTTGCTTTAGCGTTTTTTGTAAAGTGAAGCTTTGAGGCTTTCTTAATTTTTCTCTTTCCAATTAGAGTGCTCTCTGGACCAATGTAAGTTGGGAGATTTGTTTTGTTGCTTTTATTTTTTATCCTAACTGGCACGCTGTTGCGATCTTTCTTCCACGAATTTTTCCAATTCTGCCTTTCTGTCTGCAGCATGTCAGAAAAGTAAGCAGATTCCTAGTGAGTGTTGCATATTTTTCAGTTTAGAACTTTATGTTGAACAATGGTTTGTAATGCTAGTTGATTTCTTTGATTTATAATTCTATTTGTATCTACCCACTCCCAGATGTTCTTGGTTTTTCCTAATGTGCTAAGCTGCCTAAATGTAACAAAGTGGTGCTCAAGCAGTGAAATCGCCACAGCCATGTAAGAAATAGTAGGGGGACGTGAATATATGAAAATTTCGAGTATTGTTTGATTAGTGTTTGCCGTTTTATTCGATTCGCATAAGAATTTTTCCGTTTAGAACTTCTTGAAGTCAAAAATAGTCAACACATTAACAGTGGCCCCTTTTTATTCTTGGTATGCTTCACCCCATTACACTTTCGTATTGGAGGAAAGCTGCTTCTCAGAATCTGCTACAGTTTCAAATGTACTGTATCAAGAAAACGCCGGTTCCAACATAGAAATGATGGGTGTGGCAGAGGTGGGGGTTCAATTAAGGCTGCTTTGGACCCGAAATTTTGGCGGGAAGCCTGAAAAATTGGACGCCAAAGATTCTTAGCACCCAAACATTCAGATGTTCTTATGTATTGACGTCTGCTAGGCATATTTGGAACTCTGGACTCGAAGGGAGCACACGCTCGTCTGCCATATCATTTGGGCTTCCACAGAAGTTGAGAGAGAGGGGGAAAGGCAGAGGAAATAGCATGCTTGTTTTTAATGTGTTTTTAAGTGTTGTCGGCAAAACTTTGTTTGTACGGAATCACGTACATAAATATACTTTAGCTTCAGCATTGCCTCAGTCATAAGATAACTATGAAACACTACCTCACCAGCGCTTCATCAACCTCGTCGAAAGAAGCACTTTCATGTCGCTATCTCAACAAGAATACGTGTAAGAATCCTCTCTAACTTTCTTCGCTGCAATTTCGATTCGTACCAAAAGTTTTGCTATTCACACAGCTCTAAGAAATAGACTTAGCTTTGAAGGTGTAAAGCACATGTAAACAGAGTGTTTCAAAATGACCCAGAACACAGCTGTTGTGGCGGAAGAGTGGATAACTCATGCCTTTCACCTATGCGTGCATGTATGTAAACTGCGTGCTACGTACGGAAATGTTCACCACCTCATTTTAATGCTGCATTTGCAGCAGCATGGTGCTGATTATTCTTAGTTGTGTGCAGCGCGTTGCCTACTGAGCTCATGGAATCACTGCTGGGGCATTTGATGTACCATAAAAGCGTGTTTGCCCTGAATGTGGATCATGCCTGCTCCGTTTCTGACTGCATGCAGATGCAGTAATGATGAGCTGCTTTTGTTCCCAAAAGCAGTGCGTTTCTGCAGCACAATTGGCAGTCTTGCACAAAGAATCTTGTACTGCACGTGTGGATTGCCGTCTAATAAAAGTGTGCAGTACGCTTAAGACTGCGGTAGGCCTGATGCCCTACCAAGCATCCAGCTGAAGATGCTTATTAGAATAGGTTGTCAGTGGTAAATCAAACTGGCACACTTACTGGCGTCAAACTTCCATGCATTTCTGGGGCATATCCGTAACGGCATCGCCCCACTGCACCTTAGCAGTGACCCCTTCACGTTCGTGATACGTTTCACCTTGTCACACTATGGCATTGTGGCAAAGCCGATTTTCGGAATTCACTACAGTAAATGAATTGACCTCGCGGTAGCACTGGTTTGAGCCTGCGACACAGTTGATGTGCCAGCCGTGTTGGCGCCAGTCGATGCTGTTTCGGACCTGCATTTTGAGCAGAAAGTTTGGAGGAGAGTATCAGTGTGGGAAATTTTAGACGTGCTTGTCCGTAGGCTTTGTGGGGCTTGGGGCAGTGCTGTAAGAGCATCCGAATTTTCAAGCATATCTAGGAACTCAACAGCTGGCCGTACTCCCTGTTCTTCCGTGTCTGTGCCGCACACATTTTATTTCAACATTTCAAGAGCATCTGCCGTCCTTTGCGCAGAATCGGACGGGCAGGGAGCAGACGACGAGCATCAGTGTAGAGCTGCTGCCGGTGCAGATCGAATTGGACAGGTCGTTGGAAGACCGCATCCACGCACTGCTCTACCCTCCTCGGCAGTTTTCTTCCGGGGACGAGAAGAAAAACGACATCTGGAGCATGTCAGTCAATGTGAGTTCCTCTTTAAAAGTGTGTGTGTTTGTGTCTGTGTGTGTGCGTGCACTGTTCTGTGCTACATTCTCAAGGAATGCGCTGTATTTACCAAGTTGCAATGTGCAAGGAAGGTGTATGCCCACCAACTCTCTAGATTTTTTCACGAGGAAATCGAATTTCGACCAGTCCTGCAACAGTGCGACATGGGCTTCTTAATGCTAACATGCTGAAAATTTGTTCCGTCTGTTCATTGAGTCTAAACTGATGGCTCCAACCATTTCTCAGTGTATTTTTGTGCTAGTCAACAGATTTCAATTGAAACAAAGAACTCTCCAAACTCATTAGCTTGTCATCTTGTCTTCACGTCTTTCAGCAAGACAACCAGGGCTCTGGTCTGGCGTCAGAGAGGACCAGTGTCGCCATACGGAGCCCTTTCGTCAAAGCCAACCTTAGGTGAGCCCTCTGGCAGTTGCAGCCAAAAGTTTTCTCTCTGAAACATTTTAAAAAGGCCATGACCCACAATTTTTGATCATAATTTGTGCTATGTGGGTTTTTTTCTTGAGCATTGACGAATAAAGTGGCGAAATTTTAGTGCATTTAGATATTTATTATTGAACACTCTTACGAAAACGCGAGGCAAACAGTGTTTCACTCGTAAGGCATGATATAACAAGCAGCTGTCTGTGCGTCTGCATTTTGGCGAACAAAATTTTTCTGTCCTCAGCCGCTCGTGAAATCGAGATATTGAGCTTTCTTCTGCATAGCACCAAAGCTGAACAATTTGCAGAAGCTGCAACTGTGGCAGAAGATGACTGCACTGCTCCTGGCTGCACGTGACGTCAGCGGCGCCATAGCAAAATTGCGGTTGCTTGTGACAGGCGGGATTTATAGCCGGTGACATCTAGGGCCTGTTTTGCACTGATATATTCTTTTATGGCCCACTTTGCATATCTGTATAGGCGTAATAGACCCTCTACTTCTATTTTTTGCTGAAAACTACAAACTTTGGGTGGCCGTGTCATGGCCCATTTAAGGCAAAAGCCTTAAGACGCTTCGTCAAATGTGAAAAATGGTTGTCAGCGTTGACGTTATGGTGACCCCGCTACTAACTGCAGCGGACGATCACCGCGGGTTCACGCTTAGCGAGCCACAGGGCCGCTACTCCGTTTACTCGTGTGTAGCGCACCGCTCCGCGTGCGCTCAACTAAAAAGGCATTTAGCGCGGCGCGGCAAACACAGACAGTGTTCTAATGCAAAATACACAACACTTTATTGCCTCTGGCGGCACCCCGAACAACAGTACAACGTCCGCTCCCGGGACGCGGGTAGCAAAGGCACTCGCACGTGGACGTTCACAATAAGGGAAAACCGCGAGCACGTCGCAGCTGGCAATGGCGAGCTTTTGACACGCCGGTCGGGAAAAGGTCCCTCGCGGCTATGCTGCGCACTCTCACGATGGCCAATAGGCCTGGTCGCGAGTGTTAGGGCAAACCTCGTACGCGTAGGCCTACGGCAAGTGCGGCTCGTTGTGGTACGACCACTTCAAGCACTAGGCACCGCTGTGGGCTTAGCGCACGCTACCGATGCTAGCACTCAAGTAAACACGCCTGCCGAGGTGCCCAAGACCACCCCAGGCAGGCTACAGTCCGGCGATTCCCAAAGGGGACGCGGACGAAGGAAAACACGTGCTTACCTGGCGCCGACCACGGAGAAGCACGTGGCGCCATCTATCGCCACGTGGTGTTAACAGAGCAGAAAAGCAAAAGGGTGTGGCCGTGTGGCGGAATGCCCGCGAAATGGTCGCGGGCGCGCCTCAGATCCCCACATTCTCCTCTCCTTAATTCACCCTATATACCGGTCTGCAAAGGCAGCCGGTCGTCGCCCATGCATGCAAAGGCGTCATGCAATGGGCAACAGCTAGCCTCAGCCTCGCTCTGCAACTGCTGCTGAAGAAAAAATAAAACAACACAAGAATACACTTGAGAAATACAATGGCTCTGCGGAAGAGGGGTAAGGGGAGTTCATGATGCTCACGCAAGAGCGCGTCCACGGCTCGGAGGGGCAGCGTCACGTAATGTTTGACTTGGGTGACTGCGTGGATGCGAGAGTTCAAGGGGAGGGTTCTGGTTGAGGCCTTCATGCGAGGAACGGGCTCACCTTCGTTTCGTCGATGTTGACGACAGCCCTGCGAGTCCGACGAACGCCGCCTCGGTGGAGGTTCGGATCGACCTCGCTGCGACAGCCGGCCCTTCTGCTGGAATCATGGTCACCAAATCCACTGGCTGCAAGGCGTCCTGCGACAGCTAGCCTCGTGCAGGAGCCGTGATAGAAAGGCCAGCAGAGCTTATCAGCGACGGTCGGGAGCAGGGCGCAACCGGGCTGCCTAACCACCCCAGGTCTCCGAACACCTCCAGAGTGCAAGGTGGTGTAGGGGTCGGTGACTTCTTAAGTTGTTGCCACACGCTCGCACACACGCACACACACCTCCGATGGTCGGGTCTCTCCAAACGCGCACCACAAAGGAAGCGCAGAGTGTCCTTTGTCCCTCTCCCCATGCTAAGCACCAATTCACAATCCCCTCCTCCAGCGAGAAGAAAAAGAAAGAAAACATGGAAAAAACATCAAGTAAACAACAACACTCAAATGACAATCAGCAGCAGTAACTGGGCGGAACAGACTTCTTTGCAAGCACTGGCTATAAAGAAGTTAGCTAACTGAGACTGGACAGTAAAAATGAGGGCCTTCGGTTGCGGAAATAAGCCCGCCGTCCTGCGCGAAATCACTAAGGTGACCGCTTCCTCAGATTATATCGGTGCGTGGTCCGAATGCGGTCCGCCGCGCCGGGTGTGTGCCGTTGCTTGCGCGAAGAGCCACTGAGCACTGGCGCAGGCTCGTCAGACCTCGACGCAAAGGCTTTCAGGTCTGTGATGTGGGCACGGCTGAGTTTTCCCGAAAGCGGGTCTTTCAGCAAGTACGAGAGTGGAGTCCAAGCTTTCTCCACTCGGTACGGACCAAGCCACTTTGGAGCGAGCGAAGTTGAGAAACCCTTGCTCGCGTCGCTAAGAGCGTGGTTGCGCTTCAGGACGAGGTCACCTACCTTAATTGAAAGGTGGTGACGTTTTCGGTCATACTGGGCCTTTTGCTCGGCCCTGGCCAATGCCAAACTTTGCCTCGCTCTACTGAGAGCTCGACAAAGCCTGTCCCGAAGTGTGGAAGCGTAAGCAGAACAGTCTGCCGGTTCTTCCTCGTCTCCAAGCTGGCATTGCATGACACTGGTCACCGGATTTGCCAACTCCCTTCCGAAATTAAGGAAGGCGGGAGAGAAACCAGTAGAGCGATTCTCGGAGGTTCGGATTGCAAACGCGAGTTCACTCAAATGGTCTGCCCAGTCCCTTTGACTTTCGGCAAAGGCCGCCAACATCGGTTTGAGCGTACGATTGGTTCGCTCCGTCAAATTGGACTGAGGATGGTAGGGCAAAGTGGTGCAGTGATCTATTCCTAGGGAACGGCACGTATCGCCAAACACCCGAGTGGTGAAATATGACGCATTGTCTGTGATCAATCTTTTCGGAAAGCTGAACCGACAAAACACTTCCTGTAGCCTCTCTAGCACCGCTCGCGCTGTCACTTTCCGCAGCGGAAACAGCTCCACCCATTTGGAAAAATGATCAACAACTACCATCAGATATATGAACCCCCGCTTACTCCTGGGGAATGGCCCCATTAGATCGCAGGTGGCTACTTGCCACGGACGCTCACTGACAATCGGTTTCATCAAGCCGGGCGGCTTGCCACAGCTTGATTTCACCGTTTGACAGACGTGGCAGGAACGGCAATAGCGAAAAATGTCACGCTTCATGCCAAGCCAAGTCACAACCTTGCTCAGTTTCGCAAAAACTTTAGAGCCACTCAGGTGACCGGCAGTGGGCTCATCGTGGGAGGCTCGCAACAGTGCGCCTCTCAGACTTTTGGGCACAACCACCTTAAACGGGTCCACTGACTCCTCATCGGTGGCTATGTATTTCAGCAGGAGTCCATCATGGTCCAGCAAGTATGTATCCGCGGGGGACCCAGCGACACACGCCGGTTCCCGTCCCCCTGCGCACGCCGCACTACCAGCAGCGTCTCGGCGCTCCGTCTCCCTGAGACCGTCGCTCAAATTGCGACAAAACGGATCATCTTGCTGCGCCTTCAGTAACTCTTGTCTGCTGAAAGCGATTCCCATTCTCCCAAAGGGGAGCTTGGTATCGTTCCCACTCAGGACTGCAGCCATCGCCTCCGCTCGCATTGGCGTCATGGGTTCGCTTTCCTTTCGCTCCCCCTCTCGCCCGCTTCGCGGCGCGCTGCTTGCCTGGCCCGTGGAAAGGGTTTGCTCGTTGGCGCGCTCACCCTTTTCTCCACTCGGCGGCTCCGCCGCCGTTTCGCCCGTGCCGCTCGCTTGCGCAAAGGAACCGCTAGCGGTTGTCGCACCGGGATCCAGGCTCCTGGTAGACACTGGGGCACGAGATAGCGCGTCAGCTACCACGTTAGTGCTCCCCTTCCGATACTGCACTGAAAAGTCATAATGCTGTATTAGGAGAGCCCAGCACGCTAGCCTACCTGCAGGCTCACGGAGCCGCATCAGCCAGCTAAGCGCGCTGTGATCTGTTTGCACCACAAATTTTGTCCCATCAAGGTAGACATCAAACTTCCGCAGTGCAAACACGATGGCGAGACACTCTCTCTCGGTCATGGAATAATTCCTTTCCGCGGGTATCAACGAGCGGCTGGCAAAGGCCAACGGCTGCAACACACCATCGTATTCCTGTAGGAGAACTGCTCCTAATCCCAGATCGCTTGCGTCAGTCTGGACAACAAACGGTCTGGTCAGGTCGGGGAGCTTGAGCTGCGCCGTCTCTGCAATGGAGCTAGACAGACGGCAAAACGCCTCTTGCTGCTCAGGTCCCCATCGCCACTCAGCTGACTTACCCAAGAGCTTGGTCAAGGGCGCCTGCACTCGGGCACAGGATGGGATGAACGACCGGTAAAAATTGGCCATTCCGAGAAAGCGGGGCAGGCCGCGTACGTCCTTGGGCGTGGAAAAATCGAAGATTGCTCGAAGTTTTTCCCGATCTGGCTCAATGGAGCCTTCGCCCAGCGTGAAGCCAAGTAACTGAACTCGGGTTCGCGCTAGTTGGGCCTTTGCGGGATTTAACGTCATCCCGGCGGCTCTCACCCTCACGAGCACATCGGCAATGTGGGCCAAATGCTCTTCGAAGGTTCGTGAATAAATCACGATGTCGTCGAGGTAGCACATGCAGTAAGACCACTTTGCTTCCCGAGGACGCGGTCCATGAGTCTCTGAAAAGTCGCAGGAGCACTGCAAAGACCAAAGGGCATACGAGTGAACTCAAATAACCCTCTGTGGGACGTGAACGCGGTCTCGCACCGGTCACGCTCATCCATCCAGGCCTGTAGGTAACCTTTGGAGGCATCTAATGTGGTAAAATACCGCGCAGTGCCGAGGATTCCTACGATGGAGCTAATCGTGGGGAGCGGATAGGCATCCTTACGAGTCACTCCGTTCAGACGGCGGTAGTCTACGCACAGGCGATGACTGCCCTCTTTTTTTGGCACCAACACAATTGGAGACGCCCAGGCGCTGGACGAACGGCGAACAATGCCAGTTGAAAGCATCTCGTCCAGCAAGCCGTCAGTTACCTGCCTTTTGGCCTGGCTGACGGGCCTGGGGTTGCACTTCAAAGGAAGCGCGTCGCCAGTTTCGATCGAATGGCTCACCAAATCGGTACAGCCGGGTTGATCGGTGAAGAGCTCATCGTATTCGCGTAACAATGCCGACAGACGAGCCTTCTGTGTATCATTCAATTGAGTCGCACAGGCGATCAACGGATGCGGAGCCTCTTCGTGTCGTGCCGCTCTATCCCGATGGGGATTGTGAGCCGACGAGTGCATAGCGCAGGGGCCTGCCCCTGAAGTTTGCACGTGACACGGTTTCGACGCTTCAACTGCACAGGCAACAGAAAGCGCCGGTGGGCTGATGAACGGCTTTAGCTCGGAAAAAGGTCCGTCGCGATAGCCTCCATTCGCAATGTCCACTACGATACCGGTTTTTAGGAGAAAGTCCCGACCGAGAATCACAGGAACACTGAGCCCTGGAAGATGAACGAAACGCGCGCGTCTCATTCGGCCTCCCCATCTGAGAGTCAACCTCGCGGCGCCCGCCGACTGGGCCACGCCTTTCGCGAGGGTGAATGTCGTTCGACTGTCCCGCAAGCGCACCGAGCGCTTCTGCAAGTGGGACAACACCTGTTCGCCAAACAACGAAGCGCTTGCGCCCGTGTCCAGCAACGCCGAGAATTTGCGACCGACAATGGTGACCAAAATAAACGGCGCGTGTGCACCAGAAAGACTGCTTGCCCGATACGCAGAGGGGAGAAGCAAGGGTTCGGCCGCTCATGCCTTCACGAACGGCCCGCGCTCCCGTTTCCCTGCCTCACAGGAGGCACAAACGCGGAGCACTCCCTCGCTATGTGTTCTCGTTGACGGCAGCGGAAGCAGCGCACTCCATCGCGGTCCCTTTCCCGCGACGGAGCAGCTTCGAGCTGCAGGGGTCGGTTCGCCGCGTGATCAAAGGAACCGCTCTGACGACCGTTACCACCGGTGATGCGTTGGGTCGGATTTCGTCCCTGCTCGCGCGCGTCGAGTTGCGATGCAGCACCGGCTGCACGCCTCCCGTACGTGTAGGGATCTAAAGCTCGATCGCTTATCTCCCACGCGCGCCCACCTGTAGCGGTAGCCGCAAAGGCAGCTCCGGCGGGCTGTTGCCGCTGAGGAAGGGTCATGGCCCCTCCCCACGCGCAGCGCTGTTCGAGGGCCTCGCTGGCTGGCGGTGGCGGGTGATAGGAACGCGCGGCGCGAATGTCGCCTTGGATGCGCTTTGCCTCGACGGCCAATTCCTCCAAATCACGGAAACGACTGCCGCGCAGGTACGCCGAAAAAGTCGGGTGTGCCTGCCTAATCACCCGTTCGACGCGCTCCTCGTTCGAGGCTCTGGGCTCGGCGATAGAAAAAAGGTCTTCCATCGCGCATACGTACTCCTGAAGCGACTCATGAGGAGCTTGTGTGTGGAGCACGAGCTCGCGCCGCATCCTACTCTCGTAGTCAGCGGGTAAGAATTCGCGCAGAAAAGCCGCGCGGAACTCATTGAGGGTTGCTGCTCGGTGGCCGGAAAGCCGATGCCACCTGGCCACCGTGTCAGTCAGTGCAGCCGGGACGACGCGTCCGAGCACTTCCTGGTTGTCTAGACCCATGGCTCTGATAACGTGTGAGGGAGTCCAGGTAATCTCTTGCACTTTGCAGATCACCATACCCGCTGTAGGTCGGAACGGCCAACATGACAGCAGGATGAGGGCGTTTCAGAACGGCCGAAAGCGTTTGGACTGCGCCCGTGAGTGCCTGAATCATTTGGGCGGCATTTTGCAGCAGCGTCTGTGCGCCCGCTTCAAAGGAAGCTGTCGGTGCATTAGCGGCGCGGGTGAGCGATGGGGAACTGTCTCCGAGCTCGATAAGCGGCGCGGTTTCAAAATGGATAACGGTCGTTGCGAGTTTGGGGAGCGCCTGTTTTTCACAGCTGACTCTTGGGGCAGCTTCACGTGAAAATGCTAGGCCGCTTGCGGCTAGCGGTGCAGGCGCGTGCTTGAAATGAGCTTGGCTGCTAGGTTGCGTAGCAGCCAGCGGGCAAAATTCGGCAACGGTTGAGGCCGTGGTGCCCATCTGCGCCCCGGAAGCTCCACTTAGAGCCGTTTCGGAGCGCTGTGACACGAAACTGCCATGCATTCCAAAGGGAGCAGTAGTAGTCCAATTTGCCCTTGTGCACTGTTCGGGTTGGGCTATGGCCCCGGACCCAAAGCACGCTACCTCTCCAGTGGGAGCTGATACGTAGCGCCTCGTGTCATCCCGACTGGGGCTTGTGACAAGTGAGGGGGCGCGATTGTGATGCTCAAGGGGGGCACTGGCCCTGTTCTCGAGCAATGCGGTATCTGCTAAAAGCATCAGCGGACAGAACTCACGCGGAGCAGACATAACGCGGGCAAACGCCGCGAGCCTGATTCGCTAAGGCGGGCTGACTCGGCTAAGACTAATCAAAGGCTTAATGAGCCTTTGATACCGCGTTGGGCACTAGTATGGTGACCCCGCTGCTAACTGCAGCGGACGATCACCGCGGGTTCACGCTTAGCGAGCCACAGGGCCGCTCTCCGTTTACTCGCGTGTAGGGCACCACTCCGCGCGCGCTCAACTAATAAGGCGTTTAACGCGGCGCGGCAAACAGACAGCGTTCTAATGCAAAATACACAACACTTTATTGCCTCTCGCGGTACCCCGAACAACAGTACAACGTCCGCTCCCGGGACGCGGGTAGCAAAGGCACCCGCACGCGGACGTTCACAATAAGGGGAAAACCGCGAGCACGTCGCAGCTGGCAATGGTGAGCTTTTGACACGCCGGTCGGGAAAAGGTCCCTCGCGGCTATGCTGCGCACTCTCACGATGGCCAATAGGCCTGGTCGCGAGTGTTAGGGCAAACCTCGTACGCGTAGGCCTACGGCAAGTGCGGCTCGTTGTGGTACGACCACTTCAAGCACTAGGCACCGCTGTGGGCTTAGCGCACGCTACCGATGCTAGCACTCAAGTAAACACGCCTGCCGAGGTGCCCAAGACCACCCCAGGCAGGCTACAGTCCGGCGATTCCCAAAGGGGACGCGGACGAAGGAAAACACGTGCTTACCCGGCGCCGACCACGGAGAAGCGAGCGCTCCCTCGGCGCGCGCGTAGCGTGTGCCGTGCCCGCACGTGGCGCCATCTATCGCCACGTGGTGTTAACAGAGCAGAAAAGCAAAAGGGTGTGGCCGTGTGGCGGAATGCCCGCGAAATGGTCACGGGCGCGCCTCAGATCCCCACAACGTCAACAGAAATGATGCAAAAGACTCTCACCATGTGACGATGCTGCTTTGTGATATCATTGATGTCATAGCGGCATCACTGGGACATTATGGTACCACTGATCTCACAAGATGTCATCATTACATGACAATGTCACTTGTTCATAATTAGGCTGATCGTGTCGGCACATTAGTCGCAGGAAGCATGTATTGTTTCCGATCCTGAGGCAGAGCAAAGTCTCACAAGGTGGAGAAAGCTGTATGGGTGCAGGGGGGGGGGGGGGGGGTAAATGCAATCGGCCCAGTAGGCAGAGAAAAAGATGACTTTCTCTTTCAATTCATCTCGAGCAAATGCATAAAGGACCCTGCAAGTCTTTTTTTTTTTTATTGTTACAGTGAGGCTGTTCTTGGCCGAGGCTTTTGTGTCTGGGGACTGTCGTTGATCATAGTTTGTAGTGGCATTTACCCACAGAGAAAAGTCCCACTGTGGATGTGTGCCACTTCTTCTGCCACTACTCACATCTGCCGCACTACGATCACTACTGCTCCTGACACTTCTTTCACTTCATTCACCCACTTCACTCACACTTCCACTTCATTGAACCCATTTCATTCTGCACTCAAACCTCGTTATAATGAAACCGGATACAACAAAATATCGATTATAATAAAATAAATTAAAACTAATGTTGCAACAGATATAGACTCAAACCTCGTTATAATGAAGTTTTATCTTACCCGAAAATTAGTTCCTTATATCTAAAATTTCGTTACAAAGGTGTATTCCTAACACTACATCTATTGCAAAACTATTCTTTATTTATTTCGTTATATCCAGGCTCGTTACATTGACGTTTGAGTGTAGTGTTGAAAATAAACCTTTATAACGAGCTTTCTAAGATAACAAACATATTTTCCTGTAAGATGCGAGCTTGTTATAATGAGGTTTGAGTGTATATCACTCAACCTCGCTGCACGCCACGTGCTTTGCTGTTTCATCAGTGTGTCCCAAATTGAGCTGGCTGATCTTTTTTTGTGTTTGGCGAAAGAATGTGGTGTGCTGGTCAACTTAACATGATTGCAATGCTACGGTTTCGCAGAGCAGGTAATTAAAAAAAAAAAATAAGTCTGTGAGCCCTGTGAAATGCCAAGTCCAGAGTTCTGACTAAGCGAAATGGTGTGTTCTTTTTGCTTTTACCTTGGCAGGTTTCCCATTCCAGATGTCCGGCCGCTTCACGAAGTTCTCCGGGAAGCCTGGTGGGAGAAGAACCTGAGGCCGGACATTCTGTCAGTGGAGCTGTCGGAGCCGACGTTGTCCACTACATTCGTTGCCGACAACAACGAAGACCTCAAGCTCGTGATAGTCTGCAGGAGGCTAATTGTAAGTAGACAAGTTGCTGCAAGAGAAAAAGGAAGATATTAGGATTGCTGATTAATTTTCGGCTGCTTACAACACACTTATTAGTCCATAGGCTTATGCAAGGACAGTTTAACTCTCATAAAAGACGCGTTTCGGGGAGCAGTTTCTGTCCTTCACTTGAGGTGTCTCGGATAAACAGAGTACCTTGTTCTCATTTTCTATTAAACCCCTATGGGCAGACCAGTGTATTGTTACCCAATTGTCTGATACTGATACATTAGTCTCTCTTATAAAAGGGCTCAACTGTATAACTTTTTTGTAGGGTTGGGCTAATAGTGAAATCGAGGTTCGAAGTGAATAGTGACTTGCTCGAGTAATTGGGAATCTAATAGATCCAATAGAATATACTGCATATTACAAAAAAATGACCGTTTTTGTCATGACATGACTTACTGGATTGGAACAAGGCTCGTGAGAAAAGTGGAAGCGTTAATGGTACTAGTAGTAGGATTTGAATAGCAGCAGGTTACAAATTATTAGCTTTGAAATTTGATAATTAGTGAATGTGAGCCCATATAATGTGCTTTTAAGGGGGCGGACGGGTCTTTGGGACCGAAAAATCGCGAAAAAAACGTTTTTTTTTCAATGTCATTTTTGAATTCTGCAAGCATTTTTACACCTGCCTGCCAATTTTCAGACTCCAGAAAGCGATAATTTACTTGTTATATCATTACAAAGAGGACACGCGAGCTCGATTTGCGCAGAATCTGACGAAAAAACACCACCTCTTTCGCGATGCAGAGCTGCCGTTTGCCGAACGCCATTGCCGCGATCTCGGTCTTGTTTGAAAGAGCGTTTCTTCACCTTCCGATTCCCGCCCATAGAGCCTCGCTCCGCTCATTGGTTACCGAAAAAAAAGCAACCAAAGAAGAAGCAAAGTACGCGACGCTATTGGTTGTTACGCGCACGTGACCACGAGGTGGTCACTTCATTGGCTGATTGCGCTCGCATCGTCTGCTTGGCGCGTCAACAACGCGCGAACACCTGTTGTCGCGCCGACATATTTCCTGTGCCTGTGCTTCGACTAGCGTGCTCGCGATCGAAGTTGTTGCAATGCCTGGATCGGCACGAAAGTTTCATACACGGCATAATTTCGGCAAAAAAAGAAAAAAGTCTCAGGCGAACAACTTCAAGGCGCTTCTCTTGGCGAGGAGCGTCAACGAACAACGAGATGGGTCGCCCGCCGATGCCGCCGACGCAAGCCTGACGGCCTCGCCAGCCTGCGATGCTCCCAAACGTGACGCATCGCCGGCACATCCATCACCCGAACGCGCAGACGAACTTTGCGAACATCGAGACTGCGCGACCTCCATCTCCGCCGACAGCGAAGGAATCGCCGAGGCGCCCGAGAGAGTCGACGGGGAGTTAGGCCTAGCGGGCCCGCCGGTCACCGACGCTTCGCTAAGCAGCGGCCGCGTCCGCCGTGATACAACCTTACTAACGCAATCGGAGCTGCAGGTAAGGCGCACAAAGGCCGATGCAAGGCTGCAGAAACTGGCATCGACCGCCGCGTCGAAGAGAAAACTTGAGTTTTTGTGGAACGACGCACCGGCCGGCGCCGCTCCCGCGGAGCCAAACGAAGAGGCAAGTTTTTTGATCGCCGATCTTGGCTGCTTCGGTAAACTGTTAGATGCCATGAAATGTAAAATCTGCAACGGAAGCGTCAGCATCTACAGACAGGACAGACAATACGGCCTTGCCGTGAAAATGTGTGCGCGTTGCGTGAACTGCGGCGACATCGCGCAAGCATGGAGCTCTCCGCGAGTGGATGAAGCACAGAAAGTAAACTCGTTCGCCGTCAACATTCTCGCCGCTCGAGCCATGCAGGCCACTGGGAACCGTCAAGCAGCTATGAATGATATATTTTCGACAATGAACATATCCCATCGCGGACTTCACAATAAAACGTGGCAAGGATATGTGAAGCGGAAATTGACTCCTGCAGCTAATCGCGCGGCCGAAAAAGTCATGGGCGAGTGCGCGAGTGCAGTTCGTAAGCTTTACAAGGAGCTGCATATTGACAATGCCGACAGTATTGCAGTCTCGTACGACGGCTCCTGGATGACGCGCGGGCACTCGTCCCACATAGGCGTGGGGGCAGTGATCGAGCTCTTCACTGGTCTAGTGCTCGACTATGTTGTTCTGAGCAACTTCTGTGCCGGATGCAAGCGCGGACCGAAGGCAGACGACCCGGCATATCAGGCTTGGCAGGACAGCCACGTGTGCCAAAAAAATACTACAAAAAAAGCTGGCGAAATGGAAGTTGAGGCAGCTGTGCACCTCTTTGAGAGGTCCATAAAAAAAAATGGCCTCAAGTACACTACAATCCTGTCAGATGGTGACAGCCGCACCTTTCTCGCTTTGCAAAAAGCAGATGTCTATGGCTTCATCAAAGTCCAAAAAGAGGACTGTGTCAATCACGTCCAAAAGCGTATGGGCACTGCCCTACGCAATTTAGTAGCAAGGCACAAAGGAGGTGCCTCTGAAACCCTTGGAGGAAGGGGAAGGCTCACCGGGGACCTCATCACGAAGTTGAGCTCCTATTACGGCTGGGCGCTCAAATCTCACAAAGGAGATGTTGAGGACATGCACAGAGCTGTGATGGCGACTTACTATCACATCACTTCTAATGATAGTGAGTCAAACCACAGCCTGTGTCCCACAGGCCCAGACTCTTGGTGCCGGCAAAATGCAGCTGCTGCCAAAGGGGAGCCCACTCCGAGGCACCATTACAATTTGCCACAACATGTGTGCAAGGCTCTTCTTCCAGTTTATGAGCGCCTGTCAGAAAAAGGGCTTCTAGAAAGGTGTCAAAGGGGTAAAACCCAGAATAGTAATGAAAGCCTTCATTCCGTGATCTGGGCTTTGGCACCTAAGCAGCGCCATGCTTCACTGTTTGCGGTTGAAGCTGCAGTTGCCGAGGCAGTGATGAAATTCAACTGTGGCAACTTGAGAACATCAACAGGAATCCTCGATGAGCTCAATCTCAACGCCACCCTCCCAAGCATCAGACGGATGACTGAGAAGGACAGGCGTCGAGTGGCCGACTCGAACCGCAAGCGTGCCTCTAGTGAGAAGGTCCAGCAAGCACTAAAGAAGCGCCACCGCAGTGCTAAGCACCAGTCTGACTATGTTCCTGGTGGCTATTAAGATCTGCATTGTGAAATATGCACCTTCTTATTGTTGTTTTTGAATAAAGTGTGTGTTATTTGTTTTTGCCATTTTTCTCAAAATGTGAATTTATGACTCCGTTCAATCTTAAGGCCTCGATATCTCGGCAGCTAGGGCTGGTAGAGCAATAATTCTTCTTGCAATGGAAACCTGTATGTGTATAGAATCCAAGTATGGGAATGGAATTTAGAGTACAAGCCTTTTTAATTAATTACTCATCAAAATTGTAATATTATGCCAACTGCTTTTTCAGAGTGGAAAGTGCAATTTGCCATAACATAACTAAAAAGGCCAAATAAAAGAAACTACTTGCATAATTTCAATCTTAGATCATTAGTCTATCTTGCCATATCTTGAATTTTGCTTTTAATTAGGCACTTTTTTTTCTATTGAGGCCTTAAACAATGGGGGTTGAACTTGCATTATCTTTGGAATGAGGTGAGTTACAGGAAAAGTAATTGCATATTTGAAATCAGCAGAAAAAACTGCACAAGGCTGTGCATTTTCATCAAGATCACTGAAGAAATAAACAAAAAATGTCTAAGACCAGTTTGCCCCCTTAAACTCAAGGTGGGACACGCATCTTGGAATGTGGCCAAGCAGTTTTGGACACGCGTCTGCTGTCTTGGCCAAAACACGGAAACTGCTGTCTTGGCCAAAAATAGGCAAGACAGCAGTTTTAGGAGAAAGGCATTTTAGGCATGTTTGTACCTCCAGGCACCTGCCCTCGAAGTATTGCTGTTTGCGAGGGGGAAATGGGTCAAAACTTTTCTATATGCTATGGGAGCCGCAAAATTAATTACGGGAGGTAAAATGTGTTTAAGGGGGCACACGGGTCTTTGGACGCAAAAAATCGTCAAAAAAAGCTGTTTTTGAAATGTGGCATTTTTTAAATCTACATCTATTATTCTCCTTATCTGCCAAGTTTCCCATCTTGAAAGGCCATATTTCAGCCGTAATATCAATTTAAAACATGCCCGGTGGCCGGCTGTTTATCTGTGCGCATATTCGCATATTCAACTGCGCTGTGCTCACGTTCAACTGCCTCGAAAGCGGCCATCTTGGTCGCGTTGGAAAGAGCAAGTTTTCGGCTTCAAATGTCGCACACTTTCCGCTCCGGTAGGCCTATTGGTTGAATGCAAAAAGATCGCCAAAAATGCGAGAAGCGCACATTCTCATTCGCTCTAGCAAGCACGTGTCGAAATAACGCCATGTGATTGGCTGTCCTCATCCTCAGCTGTCTGCTAAACGCTCTAGAGGCGCACTGTGAGGGCCATTTTGGATACGGCTCTTGGGTGGCAACGCGCAATTATGGGTCTTCCGCTTCATAAGTTTGCATCCAAGCACAAGTATCGAAAGAAGAGGAAGAAGTCTATTCTCGCTAACCTCCACAAACGGCCTGCCGCTTCGTAAGTTGTGGAGAATGACCCGCCGACGGCACCAAGCGATGGCACCTATGCAGCAGACGACGACGAGCGAGGGATAGGCCTAGGCAGTGAGCCGTCGTGTGCGTGCGACCGAACCGCCAGCCGCATTCGTCGCGATACAGTTATGCGGACGCCTTCAGATCTGCAGCTGATAAAGAAGAGAGGCGACGAGCAACTGCAAGAGCTCGCGTCAACTGTGGCAGTGATCCGTAAGTCGAACATTCTGTCTGCTATCGATGTCGCGACCGACTCGGTCGACGATACTGTTTTCACCGTGTTGTGTTTGGATTCGGTGAACGCGCTTCTTTTGGAGTACATGAAGTGCAAGACTTGCAGTGGCAGCGCAAAAATAAGCCAGAAGAAGCGAGAGTACGGCCTTGCAGTCAGTCTGGTGCTCACATGCTCGAATCGCGGCGACAAAGGGTCTGCATGGAGCTCGCCGCGAGTGGATGGGACTCCGAAGCTAAATCCATTCGCTATAAATATTCTGGCTTCGTGAGCGATGCAGAGCACTGGTAATAGGCAAACGGCGTTTAATGATATTTTTGCAGCCACGAATATCTCACACCGCGCGCTGCACACAAAAACGTGGCAGATGTGTAAAAACGAAGTTGATGCCTGCCGCAACTCGGGCAGCCGAGACGCTCACTACTGAGTGCGCGAATTCGGTCCGGCAGCTGTACAGCACATTGAATTTCAGCTACCCAGGAAACATCGCCATTTCCTACGATGGGTCTTGGATGACTCGTGGGCACAGTTCCCACATTGGTGTCGGCACCGTAATCGAACTTTTCACCGGACTTGTGTTAGATTACGTTGTGCTTTGCAACTTTTGTGCTGGATGTGAGCGCGGACCAAAAGTGGATGATGCAGCATATGAGGAGTGGAAGACCAACCACGTTTGGTTAAAGGAGTACTGACATCAAATTTAAAAATTGGGATGTGCCTTTCCTGCAATCGCTCAGCGTGCGTAGGTCGTCTTGACCAAATTGGAATCGAATCTGTCGCGAGGAAGTTATTTTATTTTTGCAGCAAACAGCGTACGAGAATTTAATGAAAATGGAGTGCCCTGCGACATTGACAATAGTGCTACGTGTTCCATGTGATACATCCCACACATACCATCCTGAGTGACAATGCGCAAGTAGCGATGACATCTACGATCCGAGTGTTCTTATTGTGGCGCCGACTGGCGCGGAAGCGCAGAAACGCACTCGCTCGTCGCGTCTGGTCTTCGTCGCACCGCTTTGAATAATTTCGTGAAATTACGAAGATGCAAACCACCTTTAAAAAAGGAACGGTGAAAGAAAAGAGCATGATTCAACGTGTGCTTGTCGGTCAGCATGTCGGGGAACCGTTGCGTGTTGCAAGTGTGTTGCAGTCTTCTTGTTCGAAGCACGGAAAAGGCGCAATGAGGGTATCTTTTCATGTCACGTATATGTTACACGCCAACATGACCATGAGCTACCAAAGTGGAACAGTGTATAGACAAATATCATAATATCGTGGTGAGACGCATACGAGAAAAATACGCCTCAATAGTGCTCACCACGGTATGTGGGCGAGGGTGGGATGACCAAGCTACCTGTCGGGCACGTCGCAGCACATTCTGGAAGGACTATCCGTTCACCCTTGGCCAAACTACAGCTACTAGATCGACGGACAGTGCTTCAGTGCTATTTAAAGTCGCATTGGTATGGCACACTATACGGGGCTGCTTATTGCACGGGAAATGGGACAGCTCGAGCATGCGGTGGAAGGAGTGCCAAGCATCGCAGTGTGCAATGAAGCAGTGGAAGTTAAAGCAGTTGCATATTGGTGAATGGCGGCAAAGAAAACGACGGAACAGAATTTACCCTCGTGGACTTAACCGCAATAAACACGGTCTTAGGGCTTCTGCCTTGTTTTAGTTCGGCTCGGGCTCAAGTGACCATTTTCAAGCTGGATTGTACGTGGAGCATTCGAAGCCTGTGACGAAGCCTGGCAGCAACAACCGAATTGCCAACAATCGAATCGCCAAAGAGCAAGAATTCAAGATGGTTTGTTGCTCTTTGGGAAATTGATTTGTGTGCCACAGCCTTCAGAAAAATAAAATATGACATGAGGAGCTGCAAAAGGAGCACTTGTACAGTTGTGACATAAAAAACAGGCTCTCAGATAGACACTTATTAGCAAGGAACCCCATGTACAGCTCTTGCCTGCTGGTGAGCCAAGTTTTATCACTGGACATTAACCGATTTTTGTTTAACAAGTAAGCCATGTGCTTCTTGCACATAATCCCAGTGTTTATCTTGTTTCATATAGGAAAGCCTCACTTATTTGACAAAATGTTGTATTTCTTTGGCTTGTAAAGAATTGGTTCGGGCCTGTCAACTGATAAAGGCACTTTTTATCACTCCAGTTCTGTATGCACTACATGGCTTTACAACAAGATTCTGCCAATACATTGGCAAGCAATGGTCACACGCTTGGCATAGCTATCTCGTGGACAAATCTATCGAATGATATAACATGCAGGGCTGTGGCTGTTTTTTGCCAAAGTTAAAGCTGTCTGAAACTTCAAATGCATTTTTCTTAGTTCGACGTTTTTGCTCAGTTCACTCAGCCTTACGGGGGTTTTTCCCTTGTCATTCTTTAGTAAAAATGATAAATTTGGTATCATTCTACTCTATTGAAATGATCTGGGGGTGATGTTATTTTTATCACCCTGTTGTCATGCTGCAAGTTATACTTAGATATTAATGAGAGTAAATAAGAAAAAATATTCAACAGTGAGTGTTCGTCTGTTTCCTTACTTAATGTAGTACTCGTTAATAATGCATCAATAACAGCATCATCCCCTACAGCATAGCCCGGGCATTGGGGTTACGCACTTGAACATTAGTTTCAGCGCTCCAGGAGCAAGCGCTAATTATTTAAGGGCAAGCACTATTAATATTAAGTATATGCACTGATTAAGTAAGGAGCAGGCACAAATTATTTTTTCAAACCTCCATATTTGTTTAACTAGTGCAGCTATCAAGAAACTAATTACATGTTTCAAATCATTAAATCAGCATGAAAAGCTGGTCAAGACTGACAATTTGTTCGTATTGATTCAGAAATAATCACTTTTTAGAACCCACTTTCCTTGGCACTTTCCTTTTTTCTTAGTACCCACTTTCCTTAAGAAGCAAACAAATAATCAAGGCGCAGGTAATATTGTCATAAGACTATATTACACTCTGCAGAAGCAAGAGGGGCACCAGTGAAAACAACGCGATGAAAGCAGCGCACTGTCTGCCGTTTGTTTTACACTAGCGCAAAGTGTAACTACATTGTAAACACTCCTTGCTCTCCTTTGTACCTTCTCTTAACAATTTGCGCATATAACTTTCAAGTGCGCTTTCGCGGTAGTGCGAATTTCATTTAGCGTGACTCGGTTGCTGGTGGCATTGTGCTGTTCTGTGCTATTCAGCCAGGTAAAGCTGTTACCATTTCTTGGGCAAGTTTAGGCATACTGAACGGCATGATGTAGTGTAGTTCAAGCATTTCTGTGCTACATTGTTACATTGTTTTGTGACATGGAGCTTTGCTTGCATGAAATATTCAGCGCAGCACTTCAACGCTTCTTTTATAAATTGTACTGCCTTTAACAGCACCGTATTTTCTCACTTGTAACTTACTTCTGCATGAACCCGCAACCGAAACTAGAACTGGCGGAACTCAATTTTTAATACCTCTGTGTGGTACCAGGAAAGTCACCTTCCTTGCATCGTCATGAAGCCTCCTTGCACCCTGAAATCCTTAAATAACCTGCACACAGACTGTAGCTCTGAATCATTTTTTTTTTCTTTTCAAGGGTTATAAGCGAGAAAATGTCATTTTTTTCAACCCTCACAGTGTTTTATAAGGAGTCCCAGCTTGCGAAGCCAGTGCCATTTGGAAGGGTGTTTCGAGACCCCACTGTCAAAGAGGAGGGCTTTGACTTGCCAAGGTAGGTGTTTCTCTTTTTGGTGTTTTCTTTGCTGTATATACCCTCTTGATAGATAGCCCTTCATATACATTCAAACCTTATTATAACGAAGTTGTATTTTGCATGAAAAGAAGTTTGTTATATCTAAAACTTTGTTATAAAAGTATATTTTTAACATTATATTTATTGTAAGAGTATTCGTCGCTTACTTTGTTATAACCGATATTTTGTTATATTGAGGTTTGAGTATAGCTACGATGACTCCTGGAATGTCAACATGCACGGGTGTGTTCTAAAAAAAAAAGGGCACACACTATACTTAAATACGTCGATGGCTGCTGGTCCTTGTAAAGATTTCTATGGTACATGGGTTCTCGAACTGGAAATGAAATGAAACTGCATGGGTCGCGGAGCACAGGTAGAAGTTGGCAAGATGGGTGCAGCGTGTCGTGTCGACTTGTGTTTTGTGATGCGCTCAGTTTTAAGTCAGTTTCGATGTTGTACCAACTAGTCCCTCAACACGCACTACAGTCGAACTCTGCTACAACGACCGCCGCTTCAACGAAATTTCTGCTACAACGAAAAATTCACGATTCCCCGTGAGCAGTCCATAGGAGTCGATGCATAAATATCGTCTCCACAACGAACTCTTTTTCTTCGGTCGTCCCGCTTCAAACAAATTTTGCAATGCAATTCAAGGCTCAGATACTTATTGCTATGCAGTAAACCCAATCTTCAACATTTCGATGCATTTTCATAGCCTGAAAATGCGTCAACGAAGTCTAAAACACGCGTTGGCACCACCAGAAATCGCCGCTATACCGCCGCTGTTAAGCAAGCATGGGCGCCGCCATTGCTCGATAGCGATGTCAATGAGACTGCCTTGCTTGCTTGCTTCTGAGCCGCAGATGATCCGAAGCTGAAGCTCAGTCGCTCAGTTCATGGTTTCCTTCTCGCAACTTCTGGGTGCAACTGCGGAACCACGCCTTTTTCGATTTCGATGCTTATTGTGTTCGCACTTGGCCAGTGAGGTAACTAATCAGAGCGATTGTTTGTCCGCATGATCAACAAAATCAGCTAGCCATGAGTGATGGATGATAAGAATGGCATAGAATAATGCAAAAGTCGCCGCTCCACGATACCCTGCCTCTATCTCGGCGTTGTCAGATACTTTTGACGGCGGACAGCTACTGGTGTTAACGTGTTGATGTAGCTTTTTGGTTTGTTCACGAAAGCGGTCTTAGGTGTTGTTTCAGCGTGCTTTTCACCATGGCCTCGCTATGCATGGGTGAGAATCGCGTCGTGACGCTTCTGGGAAAAAATAGGAAGCAGCGGACATTTTTTGAATTTTGAGAATAAACATTCCTTTGTTTTGCTAGCTCAGATCAGCTATGTTTTTATCGATTTCATTACAACAAAATTTTCACTCGCAACGAAATTTTTTCCGCGCCGTCAGTTTTCGTTGTAGCAGGGTTCGACTGTACTGAAACCTGAGTTATGCATAAGCCAGGGCTTCCGTGAAGGGTTTTGCGAGCAATTGGAACAAATACGACCGGCAGAACTTGCGAATAATTTTGAATTTAACGAAGCCATCAGATGTCTCATATGCGCATTGGGTGTCTGCGAGTAGCGAGAGACCCAAGCGGTAGCGACACTAAAGACTAGTCGTTTAGTGCACGCCATGAATTTGTGCGATTTGTGGACCCACGGTGGAAAGAGTTCACAGAGCACTGTTATTCATACTGGTGAGCTCACTCTGTATCACGTGCACAGGGATAAATTCAGTAAAACTCTGCAAGTTGACAGATGGAGATAATTAGCCATTAACGACATTAACAGGCACGTCGTGTCAGTTATGGGGGAACTATGCAGGGCAAGTGCAAATTCCAGCTGTCTTGGTCATGCATTGCTACTTATAGGGAGTGGATTGCACCGGATATACATTAAACTCGCATCAGCGAAAGTCTTTCCATGTAGGAAGAGCTTCGACGTGTCAACGAAGGGGGAGTCTGCCCTTAAAGGGGCTCTGCAACACTTTTTGAGCATGGTCAGGAAACGCTGCCGATTGGCAGTAGAGGCTCCCGACAACACGCGAGCCAAATAATATAGCGCTGCACACGGCTTGGAATTCACAATAAATTATCAAAGTCAGCTAAAGATTGCTTTCTCTTCTTTTGATAAATCACGCAGTATGCCCAAAAATCACACGTAGCAGGCCCATCTATAAGCCATTGACTTATTTGAACATGACGCACTCGCTCGTTACAGAGATCGCCGCGGGATGCCGCTACTTGTCCACGCGTGCGCGCGCGATCATACTGAAAAAGTCGTGCATTCGAAGAAAAAAAAAAACGCTTAAGGTCACGGTGCGGTTCGATGTTTTCTGTGGCCCTGCCATCCCTCCCTGCTTAGCTTCCAGCACTTTCATCGGTACGAGAGAAGAGAGAATGCGATTTCAGTGCGTGACAAATCTCTGTAACTCCACTCGTACCAGACGGATTCTTAAAATTTTTGCAATGTTGAATTCATTAGGCAATAAGCTCTTCGAGTGAGTTTATTCCATCGTCACTTGAAAAAGTGTTTCAGGGTCCCTTTAAAAGTCACATGAAGAGTATGAAACACATTGAGAACACAAAAAAGACTGTAGTCCATGGTAACTTGTGTGCGTTCATGTAGCCAACTATACAAATAAAATAAAGTACAAATTTTATGCTGTAAAAAGTGGTGTCATTTTCTGTGGTTTCAAGTGTTATTTTAGGTCCTTAAAAAGTATTTGTTCGGTCCTTAAAAGTCCTTGAAAAACCTTAAATTTTGTTTCACTTAGGTGCTATGAACCCTGTTCGTTCACTTAAAAAAGGTTTAAAAGGGTGCAGCAGTCTATGGCCAAACCAAACAAATTAGAGGCAGTTGTTGCACTTGAGGAGCCATTTTGGTGAAGCGATTTTTGTTTACCAAGATCCTATGGTATTTCCTTCTAAAGGAATCGTTTCGTGCTTGGATGCCTTGGGTTGTCAGTTAGCCATAAGAGAAATGGAAGGGCTGATTCATCTGTTGCTTATTGCCTCTTGTGAATCTTTAAAATGCTTGCTTTTTTTCTACTGTCAACTTTGTCACCTTTGGTGCCTTTTGGTAGCTTCGTACGAGCGTAAATTCGAAGTCCCTACGACTCTGGCATGCCTCGTAGTAATACCGTTGTTCGTAGCGTATGAAACTCCCTCAACTCCATTTCAATGTTGGACATTACAGCACTAAGCTGTCTTCCAGCTGAAGCATTGACAGTTTATCTTGTTGGTAGTACATTTCGTTGTTAATAAGGAGAAGCACTAGATGGACGGGATGGGAACACACAAATGTTGGTGCAGACTGTCAATAAGATTTTATTTGAAGAACATGTATATAGGCAGAAAACTGATGCACAATATCTTACGAGGAATCCTACTGGTAGATCCGGAGCAGCCACCAAAATTTTGGAGCGAGCACTCGGATTGCGCCAAACCAGATCTGCGAGGGGAACATGTGAATTTTTCACATGAGGTCATTCTTGAAGTTGTTTACGCAAACGCCGCTAAACCGGTACCGGAAACGATTTTCTTTCCCGCTCTCTTTGTGTCAATGAGAACTGTGTCACCACTGCAAAGAACGGGTTTCGACCACGCAGTTGCAGAATGCTTTCCGATTTTAGGAATGTGAACAAGTGCACAGGGTTACGCGACTGCCTCAAAAAACGCTGAAGGCAACCTAGCTGCCCGACTGTACCGGAAATGATGGCAACGCATTCTCGAAGTGCCGGCGAAATTCATCTCTGAAAGACGGAGCACGCTAAATGCTCCGTTGCAGGTTGGGTCGCTCTGAATCTACCAGTGGAAAATGCGAACTTGCTCCAAATCTACCAGCGAAACGCAGATTCTCAGCTGTGGAGCAAGAAACTTCCACTCGTTGCTTCCGCTCGACGAGTGGAATTTGCCATTATAATGTTGTCCACTGCACTGCCTCAGGATAGATTAGTCCAAGGGAGCAACAGAGTGTGCACATGTGACGCAATAATGAGCTAGCAAAGTTCCTTGTCAAATAAGCTGATAGATGACACACTTACACAGATTGCACCTCGTGTGAATCACAGACGCCTCACCTGTTTCACCTGCCCTCTAGCATCCTTTAGCGTTTTCTCTATAGTCTATGTAAGAAGTGATGTGGCGAGTCATACGTCACCCAATGTATGGTGGCCGTTTCCTTCCATCGCAGCCTGGAGATCTCCATCAGTCCAAGCAACGAACCTTCGCCGCTGGAGACGGAACTATGTGAGGAGAGCATGATGCCATCCGTGATGTACGAGACCCTGCGGATGCCTCCACAGAATGCTCCGGACTGCCCCTTCACCGTTCACTGTCTCTGCTATGAGTCCGAACGAGATTAGCCCACCGCGCACGACATGGCTACAAGAGCAGGGGACCCAAGAAGGCGCAAAGAGTGACAAGGTACATAATGTAATCCAATCATTTTCCCCGCATCCTCAAACTCTCCTGATTTCAGACCTGTCTCCTGATTGTACAGGTGCGACTTAAGATCTCCCGGTAAACAGCCACCCAAATAAAAATAACGAGGGATGATGGTTCTAAAAATTTTCTAGCCTTGAGGATCAAGTACAGCTTGCCACAGGGACCATTGCCCCTAACCACCTATGTAAGAGGAGGAGAGGCTGCCGCCTTGATTAGTTACGGGCTTGGCGTGTTATCTTATCGTCGAGTAGGAACTCTCAATAGTGTCCCATTGCAAGTGCACTCACCAGTTGCTGTTGTTGTCGTACAATGTTATGCGGTGAAGCGTGCTAAGTGTGTGGAAAGGATACTGTATTTTGTGGGTCATAGCAATTTTGTTCTGCTCAAATGTGTACTTATATGTGTGTGCTATAATTAAGAGCACTGGTATGATCGCCAGAGTGTAAAAGCTCTACTGCAATCATTCAGAGCTATGTGTGACATTACTGTGGCCCTGAAAAAGAAGAAAAATGTGTGCTTTTTTTGGTTCTTACTGCTTTCCCTTCCACCCTCTTTTAGAGGTTCCATCCCGATTAGAGGTGTCTATAGTTTAGCAGATATTCTTTCCTGTCTGGGAAATTCCAGGGGTGGCGAGCTGTGTAGCATCCACCTCCACTATGGGAAGTACTGGGTTCAGTTCCGAGGGCTGTGTTCACACGATGGAAGTTATGCAAGTGATCAGTCACGTCACGTGTGACATGATTCTGATCCCTCCGCAGCCAGCATTCACACGACAGGGCAGGATTCACTGTACAAGCGAGGATTTCTGATTGCTTCCCGAGGATCCCAACTCTGACATGGGCTTCCATCATTTCACGAATCGCTCCGCGCTGATCGAAGTGGGGACACAGGAACCGGTGACATATGGTGACAAAGTTTGGGATTCCTGGGGTCAAATTGCGATTTTGTCTGTCTTGTGAATACAGCTTCAACAGCCACAGGTTTCTATGATGGGTAGAAGGGCACGAAGGCTAGGGGTTTTGTCTTGTGCATGCTCGTGTACCGAGAAGGTGGCCTGTCTTTTCAAACTTTCCCGCTGTTTTTTTTTTTTGTCCACTTTTTATTCTCCACCAGCTCCACTTTGCTTCTTTACAGGTTGCAAATATGTGCCTATCCTGTATTCCAGCCACTACTCCGTTTGTGCCAGTTTAAAACAGTCATCAGGTGCTAATTAGATAGTACAGTCAAACCCACGTGTAACGAACTCAAAGGTGGCACAAAACGTCGTCGTTATATCAGTAATTTGTTGTATATAAACTCGCCGTTTAAAATGTGCACTTAGGAAAAAATCTGCAATGTTTATTTTGGCATGTTTTATTAAAAAGTGATAAGGCCTCGAGTGACAAGCTAAGCCTTTTCGTGTTGTGAAGCCATGCCTGCCTGCCGCGTGCACGAGTGAATTAAATTTCATCTGCAATGAACTGACACCGTTTCATTGAAGCGCGGTACCGCCACGTGAAGTCGATCATCCCTGGCCTGCAGCGCGGTGTGCCTACTCTGCTCACGCCTTCGCTGTCTGGCCGTTTGCTGCATTACGTGTATTTGTGCATTATTTGTTCCCACACATCATTTCTGACCGTGCACGCGTGTGGCAAGTAGCCTGTTTGCTCAGCGCGGTGGGGACAAGGATTTTGCAAGCAACGTGCACTCTACGTCTCCTCGTTGCTGTGCCGGTCCTGTATGACGTGGCGCAGCGCACTTGAGATGTCGCCTAATAAAACACACACAATACGCTCGCTGTCACAGCATCGACTTTTCTCTGTGCCTGTGTCACTGAAACAAGCGAGCTCCTTTCATTTCTGAAAAGCGATGCACACTTTTATCTCACACGGTGCAGCAGTGGTGGCGAACTTGCAAACGGCACCGTCGCGTGCTTGTACGACTGGTACTGCTTGTACTGCCATCAATTTGTACATTTCACACCACACATGCATCAGACCAGGTAGCTGCAGACGACTTTGATGAGATTTTCCGGGATGAGTAATCATTTCACTTGCATCGCCAGTTGCCATATCACTTTTGATATATAGGGCTCGATGCAATCAGGTGGAAGTCGTTATCAATGATTGATTGGTCGCTGCCATAACTGAAATGAATAAAGACATTTTGCAGCTCAATGTGGCGGCAACTCAGCAAACCTTCATGCGACAAAAAGTTATCGCGGTCATCGCTTTGTATTTCACAGCATCTTGCATTCCAAGGCATTGTTTTATCGTACTAGGTGGATGTAGCTGCAGTGAATAGTGCCAAAATTGGTTGCCGTGAAAAAGCTAACTTATAGGCTTCATAATGCCTCCTATTTCTTTCTTTCTTTATTCCTCATCGTCACTTTGCCGAAATGTCTGAGCAACCTCGCTCGTAGCATCCGACGTCAACGTACGACGCTCACCGACCTGGGTTTCACATTCGTGATGATTAAACTAGTGGGGCTAGCGGATGCAAGCGTCTTTCTTATGCTCTACAAGGCCCATTTTAGCTGTTTTGTTTTTTTTTCAGTTTTGTGTGCACAACATTTTTACCGTGACCATGTCTGAAGTGTTTGTTGTAACCGTAGATGGCCTTGAGAAATGTTCGCTATATGTGGACTCCGTTTCAAAAGATGGCATGCGAAAATCGTAAGTGCACCGAAATATGGTCGTTATAGTCGATAGATCGTTGTACTTATCTGGGATCGTTGTTAGTGTTTTCGACTGTAAAACACTGTTGTCGCAGTCCTTTGCTTCGTACATAATGAGCGCTTTGCGCTCGGCAGTGCGCTTTGACATTTGTTAAAGTTTACCCGGTTGCGGCCAAGTATCACCGAATTAATGAGCGTTTGATGCCGTTAAGCAAAACATATTCTTGCTGGGCCCATAGAATCTATTCGAATTATTGGAATTTATGAATTAATGGAGGTCTAATTAACCAGATTTAACTCTATCGTGAGACGGTCTTTCTGTGAAAAGGTGTAGCGAAATAATGAGTCTATACAGTTTGCTGGAGCACATTGCATGTGTTTCTATTGTCACGGGGTTGTGACGTGGATGAAGGGAGTAGACTAGAGATCGAAGATGAAACTGTTTATTTGGGCCGCACTTGTGGCCAACAAACGAAAAGTAAGATTACAGCGATACACACTGGCACCGCTGGCGGGGAACAGAGCGTGGTTTGTGGATCAACTGACAAGCGGTGAAGTGCGTCGGCATTTAAACACGTGCCATCAAATGTTCTAGCGTTTTTGCTAGTGGCCACGTAGGTTCCAGAATAATCTGTAATGTTCGTGGAGTGGGCATAATTTTAATGAAATGATCTTCTGCAGTCCCGAAGCTTCTCGAACGCTGCAGGCGTGGTTCGCACTGAGAATTACGTTCAGTGTAACGGGGCGACAACAAAACTTGAGGAAAGGGACGTGGCACTATGCAGTTGGGCCTTATAATGAGCTTTGTGCATCGCAGCTGAAAGCTTCGCCCGGCAGTTTCAAACCTCCAGTGTTTGGTCCAGATGTCTCTCAAAGGCACATTACATCGTTGTGTGCGCATCAAGCAAGACCAACTGACTTATTGTTGCCCCGTTCGTCTCGCAGATGGTGCAGCCCAGTGACAAAGCGACACTGCGCACATTCATCGACAAGACGGCGAGCAACTGCCGGGTCCAGCTGGAGTTTCTGCTGCCCTCGGTGGAACTGACCATGCCTGACAAGCAGTTCTACGAAATCATCTACAACAGGTGAGGGGGGTTAGGTCCCATGTTTGTTGGCAGCATGGCAACAAATGGAGGAGGGGTAACGGTCACTTCACCAACCAATTGAATCTTAGGGTCATGCTGGAAGTAGTCACAGCAATTCTGCAGTGCGGTCTGCCTCTGTAAGCTTTCCGATTGTGTAATTCTTTCGCTACATTTCTGTTTGTCACAATGCTGTCTTTCTGTCGTGAAGTCTCGTCAAATTTATTTGTTACACAAATGCAAAATTTACATTTCGGAAGAACTGAGATTCAAATGTTCGGAAGCTTTGTTACATTGTTGATCTCTTGTACCAGATTTTATATAATGCAGTGTGTTTGGGCGGTGAATTTTCGTATGGTGACTCAGTGAAACTAGGATCTCCAGAACGAATACATCCAAGATCAAGAGGTGTGCCGAGACCATACCAAAACATTTTTTTGCCTTTTCTGCTAAGAAAGGGCATATAAGCCATGGCATAGCAATAGAGACTGTTTCAGAATGTTCACTGTTCTTTGTTGTGGTTCGGTTGGGTTTCTCAGTTCTTTTCTCGGAGCGCTGATGTTTACCTTAGAGTAATACTGGAGAAATACTTTAGGTGGAGCTCCTGAACGCGCTCTCACGCGCGCTTAGCTCCTGCTGGGGACGATCGTGCGTCTTTGCTGGCATTGGGCTTTTACCAGACGATTCTTTTGTAGTTACCGGGCACACAAATGTCACTGCAATCGTTGCATAGTCTACGTTTTTGAAAAGAGCGCGCTTTTCAGACACGGCGAAGTAACAACTGAGACGCTTATTTGCGTTCATCTGTACCTGAGAGTACGTTTCATGCGTCATTTGTGCGTGAGAAATGCGGGGCACGTTTCAATCTGCTGGCCATTCTGCGCATGACCTTCCAATCGGTTGCTATCACGTTCATTGCGTCGCCTTTGCAGCAGAGCTGTGATTTTTTTTAACGTATCAGCGAGAGAGGTTCTGCTGTATTTGCATGATGTTAATAAGTTCATATGTAATATCTGTGTAAAATAGTGTTGTTGTGCCAGAACCTTACTGAATTTATTATATGTGTGAGGAGGTTTATTAGCCGTTAAAGACAGCGACGAGACAGCGTGAAAAACCGTCCAGCGATCCGCACAGCAACGAACCGAAGCACGAGCCGAGAGAGCCGGGCGTTGGCGATGCTGCTCGCTGCAGGCACATCTTCTTCTTCACAATCGCCCTCGCTGAAAAAGGAGCCATCCTGGCGACTTAAGAAGTTTCAGGCAAAGGCTCATGGTACGGTTTCAGTCGGGAAACATGGACGATGTCACGTGCACGCCGGCGTATGTCGTTCGATCGGGAAACTGGTTCAATTAGGAAATTAACCGGAGAGGTTTTCTCTAAAACGGTGTAAGGCCCCTCGTACCGGGGGACAAGTTTTGAGGAGAGTCCCGGTGTTTGGTATGGGATGGCAAGCCACACAAGAGACCCTGGGGCATAGCTGGGATCCTGAAAAGAGGTGCTACGGGTTTCCTTCTGGCGTTGTTGCTCTTCCGAGGTGAACGCACGGGCGAGCTGGCGGCACTCTTCGGCTTGTCTAGCAGCATCGGAGATAGGTGGACACTCAGAAGCATCAGGACGGTAAGGAAGTAGGGTATCAATTGTATGGGAAGGCTCACGTCCGTAAAGAAGAAAGAAAGGTGAGAATCCCGTGGTGGTTTGTATTGCGGTGTTATATGCGAACGTGACGTATGGGAGAACACGGTCCCAGTTGCTATGATCAGATGCCACGTACATTGAGAGCATATCGCCTAGCGTGCGGTTGAACCGTTCCGTTAGTCCGTTAGTCTGCGGGTGGTATGCTGTCGTTTTCCGATGAATGACGTGGCATTCCGAAAGCATAGTTTCGACGACCTCTGAAAGGAAAGCGCGGCCTCTGTCACTAAGGAGCTCTCGAGGTGCACCATGTCGAAGGATAAAGCGTTGCAAAATGAAAGAGGCGACATCCTGAGCTGTAGCGCTCGGCAAAGCGGCTGTTTCGGCGTAGCGTGTCAGGTGGTCAACCGCCACTATAATCCACCGATTGCCATCTGGTGTCAATGGAAGGGGACCGCAGAGGTCAACGCCGACGCGATCAAATGGCTTGGCAGGGCATGGAAGTGGCTGCAATGCGCCAGTCGCACGTGGCAGTGTTGATTTACGTCGCTGGCAGTCAGGACAGCACTGCACGAATTTACGTACAAAATTGTACATGCCGCGCCAGTAATAGCGATGGCGAAGGCGTTCATATGTTTTGAACACTCCGGCGTGGCCACATTGCGGATCGTCGTGAAGGGAGGCGCATACATGCAATTGTAAAGTGCGTGGAATGACCAGCAATCATTGGCGGCCATCGGGAGCGTAGTTGCGTCGATGAAGAAGTTGATCGCGGATGGCGAAATGGAAAGCTTGACGTCGCAGGGATCGAGATACTGGAAGGTTGGGCGTGCCAGATAAATATTCGATAAGAGAGGCGATCCACGGGTCACGACGTTGTTCGGTGGCAATCGAGTCGAGATTTAGCGATGACAAGGTCTGGAGGCAAGTGTTTCCGCACGTCTGATCTGGTGGTAAAGGTGAGCGGGACAGGGCATCAGCGTCGGAGTGTTTGCGTCCGCAGCGGTATACGATGCGAATGTCGTACTCCTGGATGCGGAGTGCCCATCGTGCAAGGCGGCCAGAAGGGTCTTTCAACGTGGAGAGCCAGCTAAGCGCGTGGTGATTAGTTACTAGATCGAACGGGCGGCCGTATAAGTACGGCCGGAACTTTCCAAGCGCCCACACCAGAGCCAAACACTCTTTTTCTGTCACGCTGTAATTAGTTTCGGCTTTCGTCAGAGTGCGGCTAGCGTAGGCTACAACGTATTCTGAATAGCCGGGCTTTAGTTGAGCGAGGACCGCACCTAGCCCGACGCCGCTGGCGTCGGTGTGCACTTCGGTAGGAGCCGTCGGGTCGCAGTGGCGAAGAATAGGTGGGGAAGTGAGCAGACGGCGCAGAGTAGTGAAGGCAACGTCACATGCAGGGGACCAGGAGGTGAGGTTCACGTCACCGCGAAGAAGCTGGGTTAACGGTGACATGATAGATGCAAAATTGCGAACAAAGCGCCGGAAATAGGAGCATAGGCCTACAAAACTGCAGCGAAGCGCCATTTTTTCAGGTTAAGCTGCAGACCAGCGTTGGTCAGACAACTCAAAACGTGCCTGAGGCGAAGGAGGTGCGTAGGAAAGTCATGGGAGAAAACCACGACATCGTCGAGGTAACAGAGGCACATATTCCATTTGAGGCCACGTAGCGTATTATCCATAAGACGTTCAAACGTGGCAGGCGCGTTACAAAGCCCAAAGGGCATGACGTTAAATTCATATAATCCGTCTGGTGTAATAAATGCCGTTTTTTGGCGATCGGCTTCTGCCATTGGGACCTGCCAGTAGCCAGACCGCAAATCTAGCGACGAGAAAAATTCCGCTCAGTGAAGGGTGTCAATGGCGTCATCAATGCGCGGCAAAGGATAGACGTCCTTGCGGGTTATCTTATTCAAACGACGATAGTCCACGCAAAATCGGATAGATCCGTCTTTCTTACGCACCAGGACGACGGGAGACACCCAGGGACTGTGAGATGGTCGAATGACGTCTCTACGAAGCATATCTTCGACTTGATCGTTGATGACGCGGCGCTCTTCAGCGGAGACACGGTATGGTCTTTGACGGAGTGGCTGGTGTAGGCCGGTGTCAACACGATGTTTGACTTGTGATGTGCGGCCCAGTTGAAGTTGCGACACATCGAACGAACTCCTGAACTCATGCAGAAGATCCAGCAGGTCGGCATGTTCGGTGGGAGTGAGAGTGTCGGCGATGGCGCTTGAAAACGTATCATTGGACGACTCCCCGAGTGCCGACAGTGCTTTTGGGTGGTCGCAGTAGTCGTCCGGGACATCAAACAAAAACGAAGGGTCGAGATCCTGCACGCGGCCGAGACATTCCCCCGCAAGCAATGTGACAGGTGTGGAAAGCGGATTGCTTACGAACATGTTGCTTCTTCCGGCGGCAAGGTTAATTGTTGCGAAAGGCAGCGGCAAAGCTCGACGACATTTGAAGATATCGGAAGGCATAAAAAGAACTGTAGCGTCAGTGTAGGCGTTGCATGAAACGGGAACAAGGGTGAAATTTTCAGGCGGAATATCGGTATCTTCATGAACGAGCAACTTCGGCAGCTGATGAGGAGCGTCCAGTAATGGGACATCACACAAGGGTGAAAACTCAACTTCGGCGCGTGCTCATTCTATGACGGCATTATGGCGGGATAGGAAGTCCCACCCAAGGATGACGTCATGCGAACAGACAGGAAGAACAATAAACTCCACGATGTAAAGAATGCCTTCGATGGAAACTCTTGCAGTGCAGGCTGCGAGAGGCGTTACTTGCTGTGCGCTTGCGGTGTGAAGCAACAGTCCCGAAAGCGGCGTCGTTACTTTGCGTAATAAATGGCAGAGATTAGCGGCAATAACAGAAACAGCGGCGCCAGTGTCCACAAGGGCGAAAGTACAATAACCTTCAACAGTTACTGTGACCACGTTAGCAGGAGAGGAGCGAGGGCTTAGACAGTTCGAAAACGGCGCAGTTCTTGCCTCTTGGAACTGCGTTGCTTAGTTTTCCTGGTCGGAGGGTCCGGGCCGGCGACGCATGGGGGAGGGCGATCGCCGACGAGGAGAGGGTGCGCGTTGCGGCTGGAAGTCAAGGTGGTCAGTAGGCGCATAGCGAGGTGGCGAGACCGGCCCGTATTGGACGAAGGGTTGGCTGCCGGGATGCGACGACCGGGCATAGTTGCCGAACGTCTGAGGTCGACGGCGGCAGTAGCGAGCAACGTGTCCGGGAGTGAAGCAAGCGTAGCAAATCGGTCGGTTATCGGGCGTCCTCCAGGGATTGGCGACTGGTGCTGCCGCCCAAGGTGCAGTATAAGCAGCCGAGTGTGCGGGCTGTGACCGCAAGGTGTAGGGTGGTTGCGGGAGCCTACGTACAGCGTCTGCATATGTGAGCGGCGCGGCTACGGGCTGCATCTCTTGCGAAAAGGCGACAGGAGGAGCCACAGGCTGCGTTGCATAGGTTAGGGGCGCGGCCACAGGCTGAACGGCTGGCGGATAGGCGACAGGAGCGCCTACCGGCTGTGCGACACCCGGGCAGTGACCACGGCTAAATAGAGGTGGCTCGTAGTGCGCAAGAGGAACAACTTGTGCAACCTCTTCCGATATAGCAGTGCGAAGCGGGGCAGGTAGTCGGGTGGTGGTCTCGTGAGTAAAGGGCACTAGGGAAAGTTGGCGGGCGACTTCCTCACGGACGAAGGCTCGGACTTGCTGAAGCAATGGTGAATTGTCGGGCATGGAGTCGAAACTGGACAGCGACTCACCACCAGGCTGAGGCTGCCTAGTCAGAGTGCGTTGCTTTTTCAACTCGTCGTAGCTCTGACACAAGCTGACGACTTCAGAAACTGTGCTTGGATTCCTTGCCAAGAGCATTTGAAATGCGCCGTCGTCGATGCCCTTCAGGATGTTTTTGACCTTGTCAGATTCGGGCATGGTGTCATTCACACGTCGACAAAGGTCGACGACGTCCTCAATATAGCTGGTAAAGGTCTCGCCAGTCTGCTGAGAGCGGACGCGCAAGCGCTGTTCTGCCCTCTGCTTGCGGACAGCCGGCCGACCGAACACTTCAGCACATGACGTCTTGAAGACGCTCCATGTGGGGATGTTGTGTTTGTGGTTATTAAACCACAATTCGGCGACGCCAGTGAGATAAAATATCACGTGGCCCAGCTTGTCGGCTTCATCCCATTTATTGTTGGCGCTCACCAGTTCGTAGTGCTCGAGCCAGTCTTCGACGTCGGTCCCATCCGCACCGCTGAAGACCTTCGGCTCCCGTAGCGTAGGATGGCCAGGGCAGTTGAACTGGAGCGAAGGCGTCGATGTAGTGGCGTTGGTAGTCATGACAGGTGGTAGCGTGCGGCTTCGCAGCTCCAGGGTGTAGCAACGGGGATCAACAGCACCTTCCACCAAATGTGAGGAGGTTTATCAGCCGTTAAAGACAGCGACGAGACAGCGTGAAGAACCGTCCAGCGATCGGCACAGCAACGAACCGAAGCACGAGCCGAGAGAGCCGGGCGTTGGCGATGCTGCTCGCTGCAGGCACATCTTCTTCTTCACAAATGCGATGTGTTCCAGTCAATGTACTCAAGAAACACAGTTGAATTCGGTGATAAACTTATATGAGGTTTGCACATTCATAAGTAAAAACACACTTTTTTGCCCCAAAAAGTCTGTTATGCACGTGTTTCGAAGAACAGAAGCGATAAGGGCAGTCTCGAGTTCATTTAAAACGGCAGGGTGCTTGTTCGTCGAGGCCCATTGCATAATCTGCTTGAGGCATGGGCTTCAAAGTTTCGTCCTCGCTATCCGATACCTCCAAATCGCTCTCGCTACGTACTTCATTCACAATGCTTCAATCCGTGCACGGTTTCGCAGTGTCGGCATCATCATCGGCCGTAATTAAACCATCGCAACAGATGTCCCACCCACTCTCCCAGGTTGGAGTCGATGGCGTGCTGGCACAAATCACCGCCGCAGTTGTTCGGACGCTTCAGGCCTGTCATCGGGCCCGGCATTGGGCCCGACGTCGACGACGAAGTCGGCCTTGCGAAAACAGTTTCGGGTGCATGTAATCGTCACTGGCGCCCAAGAAATATTCACCATGTCCACAGCTGAATACCGCAACAATCGAAGCGTTAAGTTGGCTGCCAAGTGGTCAACAGCTATGAGCAAGCACTCTGCAACAGGGCAACTAACGCGCGGATTACGCTCAAGCCAAGCGGTCACATTTTCTATGTTTTGTTGAGTAGCAGGAAAAAGCGTGCAAGTCCTCCCGTCTACCATCGTGACCACACACGCACACCAAGAGCGAGTAAGACGTGCACGCGCGACACACATGTCAGAACGCGTGGAACAGCTCTGGGCCTGTTTCCAGCGTGGCCGGCGTCGCGGAATGGCCGGCGTCGCGGAGTGGTGGAGACGCGCGAAGGGGTTGTGATCAAGAGGGGAGAGCACTCTTGCGAGAGAAGGGCAAAGAGTTGCGATAAAGAGAGGGCAGGATGCGGCGGGAGGATGACCTTGAAAACCAAAACACACGGGAAGGAGGCAGGTTGGGTTGCTTGCTTTAAAGGTCCGCGAAACTCGCACATAGAAAAACTTGAGAGTGCCTGCGTGCGCAGAAGTCAAAGCGCGGCCGCCTGGATCGGTGCGTGCGGCGGTGTTCGAAGAATCGGCGGCTGTGGTCAAAAAATCTTTTTGTTGCACCGGTGTGTTTGCATGGCCTCACGAACTTCGATATTTCGCGATTCATTCCGGGCAAATTAACAGCCGTTTTCGCGCTTCTGCATCTGCACGGAAGGCATGCTGAGCCGAGTGCAAAGTGAGCGAGAACAAGTCCTAAACATGAAACAAATCGCAAATTATCAGAGTCGGTGGGCTAGCGTACATGCGTGCACTAGACGTAGACTATCGGATGCAGTCGGTGGCCGACGATGTTGGCAAATGGTCTGGTCACTCCAGGCCGGCGACGCCAACCACGGTACTATTGATCAAAAACAGGGTAGATGGCCGACCAGTCTTCGAAAGATCGGTGGCAGTGTGAAAACACGGACTTCGTCTGGCAATGCGGGGTGCTCAGAGTAGCGGGCGGACGGAGGGGTGCGTAAGCTTTCCTTCCTTCATGGGTCGGGGAGAGTGGCAACTAGAGGGTCACGAAGGCAGGGTCGGCGTTTAACAATAAGAATGTATGGGCACCTCGCGAATGCCTGATCGGTGGTCCAGAGTGGTTTCCCGGCAAGTCGGCTGACCGCTCACTCTGTTCGCTGTAACCGATCAGTGGTGCTCAAAGACGTTCGTTGTAAGTGCGATTTTGTGCCATTGAACCAATGTGTATTTTCACGGTCACGTAGATATTGTTCGTTTTAAGCAAAAGTTCGTTTTAAGTGGGGCCGTTATATGTGGGCTCTACTGTATGTCTATTATTGTGAGACAAGATGTGAAACAGATCAGAAGGAATCTGGTTGACTACTGAAATACAAAAGAAGAGTACACTCAAACGCCTACCATAAAGGAAGGAAAAAGACTACAGAAAAGGACGCCACTCACTACTAACATCATTTGGGGCGTAATTAAGCTGCGGGTCATGCGTCCTCGATGTATTGAGATGGTAGCCACCTCGTTTAGTTCTTGAAATGTCCGCTAGATGGCGGTGCTTGTATATGATGAATATATGATGAAAAGATGCGACATATAGGCAGACATAGAGAGAGACGGGTGGACAGACTGGCAGACATGCAGACAGACGGACGGACGGACGCACACGACCAGCGGACGAATGAACGAACAGACGCGGTCAGCGGATAGACAAATGAATGGGCAGACATGGCCAGTGAACGGGTAGACCGACGGATGGGCGGACGTACGGACGATCGGACACACGGAAGGATGGGCGCACAGACGAACAGGCGGACGCTTCGCCCCACTTATTATTCGCTCCGTGGATATGCAGTTATTTTTTTTTGCTTTTTTTTAGAATGAAGTTGCGAGTAACACACTTTTCTGTTTTGTTCCTGCTTTGATGGTACGTGTCTTCCTTTGTATTTCAATAAGCTTGTTTGTACCAACTAGTTCAGGTACAGTTTTTACTGGGTTACTTCAATCTAGTTGACTTTTTTATTTGTTTGTTTTAAGGCTTACCATGGACTTGGTACTATGGGAGCCAGTCATCTCTAGGATCGTGGCAAGCGGCGACTGCTCAATCATTGCCTCCAGTGGTGACGCGGCTTCGTTCTACGCCGACATACGTGCCCCCTGCCAGCTTGTCCAGCAAAGCCAGGAGTTCTACATGTGTCGGTCGGGAAACATGCAAGGTGCGTAGTTGAGCGGCGGTTCTGGAGCGCAGAAGTGAGAACTGTTTCTGCACTCGACTGTCTTGCAAACCGTCTTGCACTTTTGGGCTGAAATGTCTCTTAACACCCGTGCGCAAAAGTGTACAAAGTACGGATGCGTGTGGCGTAATTGTCATCTGTACCACCTAGTGACAAACATTCTGCTGTCGAGGGAATTGCCGTGACTGAATTGCTGTTGAGAGCATTGCTTTGACGGAATTAATCACAAAATGCTCTCGGTAGCAGATGGCTTACCACTAGACGCTGCAGATGGCTAAAGTATGGGAACAGAAATGATCCGTATACATTTCGTTACGGGCGTACCTAGATCTAAGTGCTAGTTAACGAGTAGGGGCAGTCGAAATGAATGTAGAGTCCTCCACTACGTATTATGTGCTTAATGATCTAGTCATAGGTTCGGCATGTGAAACCTGATACTTCATTAATGAAATAGTAGGGAGAAGTAGTGCTTGTTAAATGCATTTTTAAATGTAAAATGGTACTGGGACGCTAATTGTTTTAGGGATTTCAATTTTCCTGGTTTTGTATGTTCTTTATAGCGCCATGCAAGCACCTCTGAACACACTTTCCCCTCCCCTTTGATCAAATCGGAGGGTATAAGAGTGTGCCCCGCCGCGGTGGTCTAGTGGCTAAGGCACTCGGCTGCTGACCCGCAGGTCGCGGGTTCGATTCCCGGCTGCGGCGGCTGCATTTCCGATGGAGGCGGAAATGTTGTAGGCCCGTGTACTCAGATTTGGGTGCACGTTAAAGAACCCCAGGTGGTCCAAATTTCCGGAGTCCTCCACTACGGCGTCTCTCATAATCAAATGGTGGTTTTGGGACGTTAAACCCCACAAATCAATCAATCAGGGTATAAGAGTGTGGTGGAGGGCATTTGTATGGGTAAAGGTACTTGCTCTTAACGTATTGGTCTGGAACATAAAGAATAACAAACAATCGAAGAAAAAAATTAAGAACCATACAGCCGGCAGTGGAAGGGAAAATTGTGGGAATAATGCCAAGAGCTCGGAGGAGAGCAGATTGGGTCAAGGAACAAACAGAGGGTTGCAAACATCCTGTAGTTGACATGAGGCAAAAGAAATGGACCTGCGCTGGCCACGGAATGCGTAGAACAGACCACCGCTGGACAGTGAGAGCAACAGTGTGGTTTCAAAGAGGTTTCAAAGTAAAGGAAGGCTGAGAGTTAGGCAGAGTGACACACATGAATAAGGGAGCAGCGATAAAATGAAATCAGCTTGCAAAGAATAGGGTAAACTGAAGATCCCTGGGAGGGGCATTCATCTTGCAGTGGAATAAAACACGCTGACATTGATGACGATGATTGGTGCTTGCTTGGGATTTGGTGGTAGTGTGTAGCACTTGCGGATATGCAGTGCATGGCCTGTTGGCATACTGTCTAACCCGAATATGGTGAAACTAACCTCGTTACAGCGGATCTGCTTACAATATATTTTCGGATACTAAATAAGTAATTGGCATCATTATGCCGACTTCCCTATTTGTTCCATGTACAGTGGAATCTCGATGATACGATCACGGCTAATACGAATTTCCGGATGATACGAATTTTTTTGTGGTCCCTGCCGAGTCCCATTACTTTGCGATGCGCTAGAGTATGTTTGTTACGAATCGATTTTCTGCCCGCGTCGTTTGATACGAATGAACGCCGCCCCACTGACGGCCGCGAAATGGAACAGCGCTCAGCCGCGCGCCGGAATGCGCGCTGCACCGCCGGTTTGGCATTTTGCCAACGGTGCCTGCCAGCAGCGCGTGGCGGCCTCCAGCATCGGCGCGCGTCGTGCGCAATATCGGAGACCTCAGAGACCGCTTGCGCCCTTTGATTTCGGTTTAGGTTTAGAGGTGGCGCTGGCCACGGTTTCCTTTCTTTCTCTCTTTTTGGGTGCGGCGGCGAGGACGCGACGACGCGGCGGACTGCGCGGGTCAAGTGGGGCGGTGACGCTTTTGTTGCTGTTGTGCTTTTCCTCTTTCTCTGCGTGGCGTTGGACGGAGTGGCTGCAGTGCTGTGCTTCGGGCGGCGTTCTTTGTGTTTGCGACATTTTGCCTAGTCGCAACTGAGCTATGTCTCGCAAGCGAAAAGCGCTCTCCTTTAAGGAGAAATTAGACATCCTTCGAAAGGTCGATGAGGATCCTAAGAGAAAGCGGACGGAGTTGGCTAAGGAGCTAGGCCTTGCAACGTCAACACTGAGCACAGTTGTTGGACAGCGAGAGACCATAATGAAAAACGTGCTTTCGTTCAACGTCAACGCAAAGCAAGCGAAGACCGCTCAGCACGTGAAACTTGAAGAGACTCTCCTGACTTGGTGTAAAGAGGTAACCGCAGCTGGCGTGAATATCGATGGCAAAGTTTTGCGGAAGAAAGCCGACGAGTTTGCACTTGCTCTGCATATCGACGGATTTCAGGCCTCAGGTGGGTGGCTGCAGCGCTTTAAGACTAGGCACGCTCTCGTTTACAAAAGCGTCTGCGGCGAAGCGAAAAAAGCTGACGAGGCAGTTGTCAGCGACTGGTTAGAGAAGCTGCCGTCACTCATTGCAGAGTATGAGCCTCATGATGTTTTTAATGCTGGTGAAGCAGGTCTCTTTTTTAACCTGCAACCCGAAAAGAGCCTCTGTTTAAAAGGCGAAGCATGCAGAGGAGGCAAAAAAAGCAAAGAGCGTATTACTGTGCTCTTGTGCTGTAACGCCGACGGATCGGAAAAGCTTAACCTGACCGTAGTCGGAAAGTTCCAAAAGCCCCGGTGCTTCAAGCGCGAGAGTCGTTTGCCGTGCGTCTATCGCGCAAACAAAAAGGCGTGGATGACGGCGGCGTTGTTTGAAGAGTTTTTGTCACTCCTGGACAGGAGGATGGCTTGTAAGAATCGGAAGATTCTTCTTTTTCTTGACCAGTGCACCGCCCATCGAGGCAAGTAAATAAATGCTTTTTACGTACTTGTGCCTGGATGAGTTCACGTCTGACTCTTTGTTAATTTAGCTAGTTTTATTTGTTTCGATGATACGAATTTCGGCTAATACGAATATTTTTCGTGACCCCGTGAGATTCGTATCATCGAGATTCCACTGTACAGTCAAACCTCAATATATCGAACACGGATATATCGAATTATTGCCTATATCGAACGGTTCCTATATCACGTGGGAAATCGCATGCATTATTGATTTTTTATTTCGAACAAAGTTTGACATATAATGGATATATCGAACTCAGCCACCCCAAACCGCCCGCGCTCCATTGACAGGCGGCGAGCTTTCCCGCAACTCTCAAAAGTAGCGGTAGAGCGGCGGGCGTTTACGAATGCTGCACACATTGATGGCGCCGAGAGCGCCACTTTAACGTAGCGGCGTACGTGCGCCGCAGCCTTGCGGTAGAGGTTCTTGAATGATGAAAGTGAAGAGAAAAGCGCGGAAATGTTTTTTTTTTTCAATACGAAGGCACCGACACGGCTTCGCGCCGGGGAAGGGGGAGTGGGAGGTAAAGATTGAGGAGGAAAGTATAGGAGGGAAAGGACGCAGACGACTCTCTCGGAGGCGGCCCGCGCTGCCGCCGGGAAAGGGAAAACAGTCAGGCGAGCCCGCATGGGCGCACCATGTGCGCGCTTTACACCCAGACTCACGCCGCAGCCTTGCAGCTTGCAGTCGTTGCAGTCTCTATGGTGTCAACGGCACACTGCGCACTTGTTGCAAGCTCCTCCCCCGTAGCATCGGCAGCCATCGGTCGTTGTGCTCGCAGTGTTCGTGCATTCGGAGTTAGGCCTGTCGCGCACTGTTCGGAGTTGGGCCTGTCGCGTGCTGTGGTGCACGACAGGCCTAACTCCGAACGGCGGAGCTCACGGATGTGAAGATTGTCGCCGAAGTTACTGCTGAGCAGCCAAATGAAGACTCTGCCGAGGTGGATCCCGCAAGCGCTGATGGTGCCCCGCTCCCGACATCCGCTGAGGTCGTAGCTGCCTTGGCCCTTGTGCGCCGCCATTGCGGCGCGATTGAAGGCACCGGCCTATCACTTATGAATCGCCTGGACTATATTGAGGACGCAGTCGTCAAACACGCCATGGCCAACAAAAAGCAGGCTACTCTTTTTCAATATTTTAAACCAACACAATAAATACTATGTTTGAATCTTCAAGTACTGCACCACGCTTGAACGGTTAATTGGTCGTTTTCAGCAAGCTATTGACGCATTTTTTTCGTGATTTCTTTATATCGAATTCTGGATATATCGAACTATTTTGCGATCGCCGCGCCATTCGATATATCGAGGTTCGACTGTATTGAGCTTCGTTTACTATGGATTCAGGTATAACTGGCTGCTGCCACCGCTGTTCTGAGCGGTCGGTGCACGGCGAGCTAGGCCGGAGTCCGCTACCGATATGCAAGATGCCTATTCGCTGTTCTAAGAAGCCAGGGGCCGAAGTGATTCGTTGCTTGCAAAAAAGCACATTACGGCTTCTTCGCTTTTGCATAACCGCTTGCGCGATGGTCTTCACCGCAAAGTTTGAGCCAAAGTTAGGCTTACCCACGACTTGGAGCAGAAAGTGCAGCTGCGATGTGCATGGCCGCCGTGCGCGATGTTTCAAAGTGTGACATGCTCAATTACGAGTTCAAAGATTCATCAGGAGGTCCGAACTTTCCTGTTGACGAGTCAAGTCAGTTCGAGACGCGCGTGTGCAATGTTCGCGACGAGTGCGGCGCACGGTCGTGACTGGACTTCCGTTTGCAGCTGCCTTAGCTAAGGCTTGATTGTACCTTGAATAATTGTCTACCCGTGAACACAGAACGAGTGTGGAAATATTTCAGAGTAGTGCAATTTCAGACAGCAGTGACCTCGCGGCGCACAAAAAGCTATCCCGAAGGCGTATACCGGAATGAGCATCGGATCAGCGAGGCGTAACGGTGCAACATGGCAGAAGGAGCCAATCGGAGGCCTCAAAATTAATTTCCAATATCTGCTATTTCAACATGGAATGCTCCTTACGAAATAATTTTATGACGAGCGCAAAATCGTGGTGGGCAGTTGGGCTGATGCTAAGCTATAAATTTTGGAAAAATGTTTGTTTTTCTACTTTCACCATGATTTTAACCAGCTCGGCAGGCGCAAAAACTTTTTACAGCACCTCTACGTAGTTTTTAGAGAAGATATTTTGGAATTGTATAGAAAAATGGCTACAGAAACTCAAAATGTGCTTTTAAAAAATTAATTTTGTTATGCACTATTGAGAATACTAAATCCGTATATGACTGTTAATTCTCTCCGGTTACAGTCGAACCCTTTATAAGAGACGCTGATATAAGACACAAATGGGTAAAAGAGACACCAGAGTGCCTGCAGTAAAATATGGATTGATACAAAAATGCATTCGAGGTACCTTGCTCATAAGAGACATCTCATATAAAAAGCAAGAATTGCTGCCCAGAGCATGCCTTTTATAAAGGGGTTTGACTGTATAACAGACCCATTCAGTGTTTACATAAAAGTCTGTTCTAACAGTACTTGGATTTTACATACTGCTTTTACAACAGACCAAAATGCTCTTCGCTATCGAGATCTATTGTAATGAGCTTGTACTGTATAGGACTCTGAGGGGGCCATGCGAAACCGTCCTACAATTTTAAAGCCAAGATTATGGGCATTGACTATCAGCATTGCCCAAAAATCAAGTAGAGACGACATAAACAAGCCCATAGCACGACCCTGATCTTCTCCAAGAAAGGTTGGTTAAGTTATTTTTGAAAATCGCAACGAAGAAAAGATTACGAAGTTATAATTTTCAAATTGCTTTGGTAGTTATGCCGCTGAATTGTGAGGCAGATCATCTAATTTCTGTTGCCATGACCGCACAAATCTCCAAAACCTTTGAAAACGTCTTGAAACGTCTGTAAGATCTGTTGTTGCAAACATCTACAAAAGCACAATTACTCACACCGTTCCATTTGACGATGCTTTTTATTTTCTGCAGAGTCCGACAATGAGTCCGATGACACACCGTTGATGTTTCACTCGGTGTTGGAAAACCAGAGGCGGTCAACGATGATTCGCCCTGACCGTTCCCATCACCAGACGAGGGTCGTCCCCTGTCAGAGTTGGCAGACACAGCTCGTCATCAACGTTCACATCACTAATGGAACTGCCACGCTCAGGACACCGCTGCGGGTGAGTGTGGTGATGTTGCTGTTGGCTGTAATGCCACCAGGCCACAGAAAATGGTATTAACTTATGAATGCCTTAAAGGGCCCCTTAACCACCCAACGGTGGAAATTTAGCTGAGGTGAAGAAGTTGTGCTCAAGTTTACAACGAACAAGCAGGTGTGAGAATTTTTCGAAACGGTGCCGTAATGACTAGGTTCAAACGTTTGATGATCAAAACGCGACAATCTCTTCTTTTCCTCTTTCTTACGCTACCTTATTTCAAAACTGCTTGGCCCCTCCTCGCTGAGTCAGCATAATGCCCCTCCTCATCTCGCGTGGCATACGTCACTGCTGAAGTGTTGTTCGAGACAGCGTCTACTTCCGGTCGCCACGATCCGCCACTCCGACGCCCCAGCTCGCCGTCAACTGTGTTGTGTGTGTCATCTTGATGTACTGATCGTTGACTAACCGCTGTTGCTGTCGTGTTGGCCCGTGTCCCTACGCTAGCGACGTGGCGGTTTTGTTATGGGCCGCAGATGTCGATTCGCAAGCGGCAACACAAGCAAGAACAGCAAGGTGCACGCAAACAGCTGTTTGCAGAGTTACCGGAAGTCGTCGGTTGTCGTTTGGCCAATCGCAAGCATCGAAATTGGTGACGTCATCGAGTTTCACTGGTGATCTCACACATGTCAGTCAGGGGAACGGCGGGGACCGGAAAGGAGAAGCTATTGTTTTTTCGAAATTGTGGTGCGCTCACTACCTGTAGCGCTGCGGCGTGTGGCATTGTTGATCGTGACTGCATTCTGCACGCGATGCACTTGTGTACTTGAAATGTTTGGGAAAATATTGGAGGGGGTTTAGGGGTCCTTTAAGATTCTATGCCATCAGCAGAGTGCGGCGTGGGCAGAGCTAATGTCTTCCACTGTATTTACTTGCATAAAAGGTGCAACCCCACATTGGTTGCGAGATTTCAGATTTTTTATATTTTTGCGGATCATATGCGCACCCTGAACTTAGCTGCGATCAGTGGTTTTATAACGTATTTGCACAGTTGCAATTTGACACCCTCTTACGCTAATTGAAGCGAGGAAAAAAGAAAACAGGTTGCGGCAGCGCTGCAGCAGCTCCGCGGGCTCGCCAAGTGGAGAAGGGTGGTTGCCTGGATGGCAGAGTAACCTTTGCACCGGCGTCGGTGTGGCTCCGGCCGCTATCCAGCGGCGCGCGCCCCCCATGGAACGTGTGATCGCGTCCTGGTTAAGTGCACATTGGGTTTTCTGTCGAGAAGAGCGTCGTCGTTACCTTATCCACAAATTTAAAAGCTCTTCCGCTTTCCTTCACGAGCTTTCATTTTTGCTGCCACTACGCTGACTTGCATAAGCTCGGCGAACTTAAGTCACCGTTGATTTGCTGGCCGCGAACCTAAACATCATATCACGCACGCTGCTCTTGAATCAGTGCTTCAGTGCGATCTTTCGACACCAAACCTTTATGTTGTCATGTGCAAACGTATCGTGACAACATGCCGAACCGTAGGCTAGGCCTATTCAGAGTTCGTTGCTTTGTTGGTGGTGGTGGCGGGCATTCAAAGTTGTGGTTTTGTATGGAATCAAGGTATATCTCTTCTTGGTGTCTCTATTTCAAGGAAAGGCAAGGCGGGATGGTGGAAAAAAAGGCTTGGGTGGCTCTTGTAACACTCTAATGGCGTTTCGCAATTCGACTGCAATGTCGTAAGTATGGTGTGCGAGCCCGTAAAATCGAACGATCGGTATCGTTTAGAGCATAAAATTACAGTCATGATAACGTGCATAATCTAGATGGCCTCAAACATAAATTTCAGGATGACTGTTTCTTTTCGTACTTTTTTTTTGCGTTCATTTGGTTGCAACGCAAATCTTATTATGTTAATTTTTCTTTTAAATTTGAATACACACAGCATAGCATGCCTCAATTCTCGGACACACGAAACTGCATGCTTAACACGTCTTGCGCAGGTGTAGCCTATAGAGGAAATTCTTCGACTCGGCTGTAGTGAAGACATTCGTGATTTCGGCGACATTATCTTATGCTTTAGTCGGAAATAAAATTTTTGGTAATTTTAGGTAAATCTGCATATTACCGTATTTACTCGATTCTACCGCGCCCTCGATTGTAACGCGCACCCGATTTCCAGCGCGAAAAAAAAAGAAAAACGTAAGACATCGATTGCAACGCGCACCCATTTTTCTCGCTGGCCAGCACGATCACACCACTCGAAAAAACGACTCCTTTCGGGAGCGTGTTCCATTTAAATATGAGGTACGGGCGAAGCTTGTGCCCATCTGACGTGTAACAGAGCATTGCCATCACTGTAGTTTTACCATGGACCGATGTCAGCACGCGAACTTGCTTCGCCCCCTTCTTCTCGACGGTTGTGGTGCCAGGCATGTCGAAATACAGAGGCGTCTGATCGGCATTCCCGATTTGCCCAAGCAGGCAGCCGTTGTTGCGCCGCAAGTTTAGAACGAACCTCTGAAAACTGTGAAGTTTTCATCGTAGTCCACCGCAAAACTTTTCGCATATGCATGTTCCCCTTCGAAAGGAAAAGCCTTTCCTCTTCATAAAGTTAGTTAGCCAGCACCTGCTCGCTTTAAACTGGCTCCGCATTAGACCTTTTTCTAAGATTGCATAGCCCGCACTTGGAGCAGTTCTGTCGTCAGGGGCCCCTGTGCCGCTCGCTGCTCAAGCACATACTCGCCGAGCAGCTCTTTAATTTGCGGAAACCAACCCTGCTGTGGGCCACTGAAGCCTTTGCGTGAAGCTTTGCTGTCGACAATCTTCTGCTTTTGTTTCCGCCGGTCCCGCACGCACGTTTCGGGAACTCCGAACGACCGCGATGCGGCCCGATTCCCGCCCGTTTCTGCACACGCGATGACTTTTCTTTTAAAACCGGCATCGTGGTGCACTCGAGTTTTTGGAGTCGGCCCTTCCACGCCGTCGATGCTAATGCACTACTAGATGACGAACTCCTCAGCACACGTACGAAGTGCCGCACATGGGAAACACATAGGCTGAAATGGCCGACGCGCCATGCCGACGCACGTAGGAGGCGGCCATTTTGGATTTGCCGATGGCAATAGATTGACCGTAGTTTTTTTGTTCGTACTCGATTCTAACGCGCATGCGATTTATGAACTCGCTTAACCGGAAAAAAGGTGCGCGTTAGATTCGAGTAATTACGGTAGGCGCACCGCGAACTTGGAGTAGGATTTTCAGAAAAAAATGTGCGCCTGTTATGCAAGTAAATATGATAATTAGGCTTGTGTGAATAGTGAATTTTCACTTCAATGTGAATTTGAAGTGAATAGTGATGTGGTTCAAATAATTTCATATCAAACTCGAATTATGTGTACCGTACTTACTCGATTCTGCCGCGCCCTCGATTGTAACGCGCACCCGGTTTCCACGGCGAAAAAAAAAAAAGACATGGATCACAACGCAAACCTATTTTTCTCGTTGGCCCGCACGATCACACCACTCGGGAAAACGACTCCTTTCGTGAGCGTCTTCCGTTTAAATATGAAGTACGGGGGGAAGCTTGTGCCTATCTGACGTGCAACGGAGCATTGCCGTCACTCTAGTTTTACCATGGCCCAATGTCAGCACGCGAACTTGCTTTGCCCCCTTTTTCTCGACGGTTGTGGTGACAGGCATGTCGAAGTAAAAAGGCGTCTGATCGGCATTCCCGATTTGCCCAAGCAGGTAACTGTTGTTGTGCCGCAAGTTTAGGACGAACCTCTGAAAACTGTGAAGCTTTTCTTTGTGCTCCTCTGGCAACTTTTCGCATATGCCCGTTCGCCTTCGGAGGGAAAAGCCTTTCCTCTTCATAAAGTTAGTTAGCCAGCACCTGCTCACTTTAAACTGGCTCCGCATTAGCCCTTTTTCTAAGGCTAACTGCATGCCTGCACTTAAAGCAGTTCTGTCGTCACGGGCCGCTGTGCCGCTCACTGCTCAATCACATACTCGCCGAGCAGCTCTTCAATTTGCGGAAACCGACCCTGCTATGGTCCACTGAAGCCTTTGCTTGAATGTTTGCTGTCGACAATCTTCTGCTTTCGTTTCCGCCAGTCCCGCACGCACGTTTCGGGAACTCCGAACGACCGCGATGCGGCCCGATTTCCGTTCATTTCGGCACATGTGATGACTTTATTTTAAAAGCGGCACCGTGGTGCACTCGTCGAGTTTTTAAAGTCGGCCCTTCCACGCCATCGATGCCAATGCACTACAAGATGACGAACTCCTCAGCACACGTACGAAGTGCGGCTCATGGGAAACACGTAGGCGGAAATGGCCGACGCGCAATTAGGGTGGCAGCCACCCTAGCGCAATGCCGACGCACTTAGGGGGCAGCCATTTTGGAAATGCCGATGGCAATAGAATAACCATATTCATTTTTTTTTTCGTACTCAATTCTAACATGCATGCGATTTATGAACTCGCTTAGCCGGAAAAAAGGTGCGCGTTAGATTCGAGTAATTTTGGTATTCCTATCACATATCATAAAAAAAAATGGGCATATTTGTCATGACCCAACTAACCTGCACAATATGTTTTTTTTTTAATACTGCAGGAAGGCCTGTACATATGCCATTCTTTTTGGTTCATACAAAGAGAAAAAAACTTGGAATAGTAGCAGGACTTCACTTTCAATACAATGCAAGTGATAACTTGTAAAATATGTTACTTTTTGAAATTTATTATACTTGTAGCATATAAGCCCGTAAACAACCTTTTAAATTAAAAAAAAATGATATGTGAGAGTTATATGTTCATTTAACTTTTAAATGAGGCTTTGCAGCAGGGCAAATTTTTTCTAGCTAGGCATTTTCACGGCTTAGGAACCCTTTATTACTGTGAAACTATCTTTTCAGGAGGTTACATGCGACTTATACACTTATCTGTTCGTTTCGAATATACTTGGAAATTTTCAATAATATAAATTTGAATTGAACCTAATTTGAATGTGGTTATATTAATCTGAATATTTA